CGTGTGTTTTGGGTCATTGTCATGCTGGAACACCCATCCACGACCCATTTTCAATGCCCTGGCTGAGGGAAGAAGGTTCTCACCGAAGATTTGATGGTACATTGCCCCGTCCATCTTCCCTTTGATGCGGTGCAGTTGTCCTGTCCCCTTAGCAGTAAAACACCCCCAAAGCAGAATGTTTCCACCGCCATGTTTCACAGTTGGGATGGTGTTCTTTGGGTCATAGGCAGCATTCCTCCTCCTCCAAACATGGCGAGTTGAGTTGATGCCAAAGAGCTGGATTTTGGTCTCATCTGACCACAACACTTCCCACCAGTCCTCCTCTGCATCATTCAGATGTTCAGTGGCAGACTTCAGACAGGCCTGGACATGTGCTTTCTTGAGCAGAGGGACCTTGCGGGCACTGCAGGATTTCAGTCCTTGTCGGCGTAGTGTGTTACCAATTGTTTTCTTGGTGACTGTGGTCCCAGCTGCCTGGAGATCATTGACAAGATCCTCACGTGTAGTTCTGGGATGATTCCTCACTGTTCTCATGATCATTGACACTCCACGAGGTGAGATCTTGCATGGTGCACCAGACCTAGGGAGACTGACACTTGTTTTGTGTTTCTTCCATTTGTGAATGATTGCACCAACTGTTGTCACCTTCTCACCAAGCTGATTGGCCATAGTTTGGTAGCCCAGTCCAGCCTTGTGTAGGTCTACCATCTTGTCCCTGACATCCTTGGACAGCTCTTTGGTCTTTGCCATGGTGGAGAGTTTGGAATCTGATGGATGTTTTGATGGCTCCTGTGGACAGGTGTCTTTTATACAGGTAACACAATGAGATTAGCAGCACTCCCTTTAAGAGACTGCTTCTAATCTCAGCTTGTTACCTGTATGAAAGACACCTGGGAGCCAGAAATCCTGCTGAATGATAGGGGATCAAATCCTTCTTTCCCTCATGAACATGCAGATCAGTCATCATTTGTTAGACGCATTTCTGCTGAATTTGTTGTTGTATTCTGTCTCTCAGTGTTACACCGAACATTCCATTGTTAGACCGATCATTTCTGTGTGAGGGGCGAACATTCAACATCAGCAGGGGATCAAATACGCATTTCCTTCACTGTAGAATTGTATTCGGATTCTTGCATACGCTCAGCTGTTGGAACAGGCGGCGTCCTTCTATATTGTAATGTGAACAGCCAGACTCCTCAAGGTGTGCTGTTCTGGGGTCCCCCTTTCAAGGAGGGTTGTACGCTGGTAATTGGCGTTCTGTATGCAGACCCCATGTACTTCCCCGCCAATAATACCTCGTTTAATTACCCCCTGCCTGCCATTGTACGCGTCCTCCATATTGTCCCCATTATTTCATACAGCTGACTACCATCCGTGTGAAAAGCTTCCCGATGTGCGCCAGGAGAATATCGCTGGCTGGCATTGATGTGCAGAAGCTTGTCGAGTCGCAGGCGATTGTCCCGGATCCGAGTCCTCCTGGGAGCCCGACTTTACATTTTTTAGCTGCAAATGCTTCTCATTAACAGTGAGAAGTAGAATCCAGTGCCAGTTCATCAGCGCCATTCTCCACGCTGTGTCCCTGTGGAAAGTGGGGGTTATGGGAACAGTTATTCTCCGGAGCTCAGCGGGACAATGGCAGGAATTGTTCTTCTCCTCTTCTGAAGACAATGTCTTATCAGTGCTGCCTCCGCTTAGCATGCCGGCAGTGTGTACCCCGTGTACGAGGAGTGTGCAGAGCCAGCTGGTGACATGCCTGACTGCTACCGGCCCTCACTGGCACTTCTCAGAGTCGGGCTGATCTACAATACGAATGTCATAGATAAACCTAGTCGTGTCCTTCTGCTTTAGCTGAGGTACAAAGCGTCTTCATGCCCTTGGCCGTGTTGACCACAATGGAGAAGGTTCATATATTCAGTGTAGAACAGTTGGGAGCGCTAGAAGATAGTTGACATCCTAGGTTGAGGTGCAAGGGGACCCGGAGTGCAGTGGGCTCTTTTCTAGATGGGGGGGCTTTAATGTCCATTGTTGTGGTGGGACTCTTTCCTATTGTATGCCGGGTGTTAGGAGTGTAGGTTTTGGGGCATCCCAGAATGCAGCATGCTCTGTTCTGGGTGTCAAAATGTAGTTTTCTGTAGGGAGGTCCAATGTTAGCAGTATAGGTATGAGAGGACCCTAGAAGTCAGGTATGAGGGCATCCCAGAGCGCAGCATGTACTGTTCTGGGTATCAAGATGCAGTTTTCTGTAGGGTGGTCCAATGTGGGCAGAATAGGTATGATTGCAGGTATGAGGGACCCCAGAATGCAGGTATGAGGGGACCCCAGAATGCAGGTATGAGGGGACCCCAGAATGCAGGTATGAGGGGACCCCAGAATGCAGGTATGAGGGCATCCCAGAGCGCAGCATGTACTGTTCTGGGTATCAAGATGCAGTTTTCTGTAGGGCGGTCCAATGTTGGCAGAATAGGTATGAGGGGACCCCAGAACACAGTTATGAGGGGACCCCAGAATGCAGGTATGAGGGGACCCTAGAATGTGGTAGACTTCAGCTGAGTATCTCCAGTAGTTTCCTGTTTATATACCCAGTGCCAGCATTTAAGAAGTGAGGGGACTCCAGAATGCAGGTGTGATGGGACCCCAGAATGTAGCGCCACTGTTCTGGGTATGCAGATGCTATAGGAGGTCCAGTGTTAGTAGTGTAGGTATGAGGGGGGACTCCAGAATGAAGGTATGAGGGGACCCCAGAATGTAGCGCCACTGTTCTGGGTATCTGGATGCAGATGCTATAGGAGGTCCACTGTTGGCATTGCAGGTATGGTGGGACCCCAGAATGCAGTATACTTCAGCTGAGTATCTCCTGTAGTTTCCTGTTTTATATACCCAGTGCCAGCATTTTAGAAATAACGGGACCCCAGAATGTAGATATGAGGGGACCACAGAATGTTGCACCTCTGTTCTGGGTATGCAGATGCTATAGGAGGTCCAGTGTTAGTAGTAGTGTAGGTATGAGGGGTGAGCTCCAGAATGAAGGTATGAGGGGGGGGGACTCCAGAATGCAGTATGCCTTCTCCTGAATATCTCCACGGGTTTCCTGTCTGATGCCAGCAGGATAAATGGGGGGGGGGACCCCAGAATGCAGCATGGAGCATACTTTGAACAGGAAACTCCTGATAGGAATGTAGCACAGTGTCAGCAGCACGTGGAAGATGGACCCCAGAATGCAGAACTCTTTGCCAAGTATCTGCCAGAAGTTGCCTGTTGGTGATGGTGTCAGTGCTGTAGGTGACAGGGTAGTCTGTACTAAAGCACACTCTCTCCTGAGGATCTAGCAGGATTTTCCTGTTTTTTTTTTGTTTGTTTTTTTTTATACCCAGTGGCAGCGTTTTTAGAAGTGAGGAGACCCCAGAATGCTGAATGCTCTGTGCTGGGTATATACATGCAGAGGTTATTTGGTGTAGGTGGGGGGACCCCAGAATTGCTTTCTCCTGGGTATCTCTAGTGGCAGTTTCTGGTCTGATATCAGCAGTGTAGATCGGGACCCAGAATGCAGAACACCCTCCCAATCTAGCGGGACTATCCTCTTATGTCCAATGCCATCCTTGTAGGTGGAGGGGACCCCAGAATGCCACATGCTGTGAGTAGTGAGCATTTTCTGTTAGATGTTGAGTATCAACACTGTAGGTGGGAGGGGTTCTGAAATGCAACACTATGGGGGAGATTTACTAAGACTGGAGAGTGCAAAATCTATTGAAGCTCTGCATAGAAACCAGTCGGCTTCCAGGTTTTATTGCCAAAGCTTCACTGAACAATTAAACTTTCCCAATAAAACATGAAAGCTGATTCTTCTGTGGTTGTATTCCCGGTGTCCTGGGTATACAGGTAGAGTTTCCTGTTGGGTACAGGCAGTTTCCTGTTAGCCCAGAATGTATCGTACTCTGTCCTAGGTGTACAGGTAGAGTTCCCAGTGAGATGTCAGGTGTAAGTAGACCCCAGAATGTAGCATGCTCTGTCCTGGGTGTACAGGTAGAGTTCCCAGTGAGATGTTGGGTGGTTGGAGACCCCAGAATGTAGTATACTTTGTCCTAGGTGAACAGGTAGAGTTCCCTGTGAGATGTTGGGTGTGAGGAGACCCCAGAATGTAGCATGCTGTGTTCTACGTGTACAGGTAGAGTTCTCAGTGAGATGTTGGGTGTGGGGAGACCCCAGAATGTAGCATGCTGTGTTCTACGTGTACAGGTAGAGTTCCCAGTGAGATGTTGGGTGGTTGGAGACCCCAGAATGTAGTATACTTTGTCCTAGTGTGAACAGGTAGAGTTCTCAGTGAGATGTTGGGTGTGGGGAGACCCCAGAATGTATCATGTGTGCTGTCCTAGGTGTACAGGTAGAGTTCTCAGTGAGATATTCGATGTGAGGAGACCCCAGAATGTAGCATGCTATGTCCTAGGTGTACAGGTAGAGTTCCCAGTGATATGTTGGGTTTGGAGAGACCCCAGAATGTAGCATGCTCTGTCTTAGGTGCACAGGTAGAGTTCCCAGTGAGATGTTGGGTGGTTGGAGACCCCAGAATGTAGCATGCTCTGTCCTAGGTGTACAGGTGGAGTTCCCAATGATATGTTGGGTGGTTGGAGACCCCAGAATGTAGCATACTCTGTCCTAGGTGTACAGGTAGAGTTCCCAATGATATGTTGGGTGGTTGGAGACCCCAGAATATGTTGGTGGTTGTGGCATGCTCCTGGGTATCTAGAAGTTTCTTGTCCAATGTCCTCATTGTAGGTAGGTGAGTGGGGACCCTAGAACACCGCATGCATTCCTCTTAATACTTTAATGAGCGTTTCCCGACCTTTGTCCTTGTCTGGGATGCAGCTCATTCTCCTGGATATGTATGATATGTCATCTTGGATGTCTTGTACCACCCGAGTGGGTGTACGGGGACTGGAATGCAGCATGCTCTCTCCTGAATATCTCCACTAACAGTCTCACTTCTCTTCCCTCGTTGGCTGCTGATGCTTCTGCTGCTGTCTGTCTGTCTGTCTCTTCCTGCCTCCGCCCTCCAGATCACCACCCGCCGCACTAAGGTGAGCGCACATTACCCCACCCTATTATCATCCAGACACATGATGTGTGTATGTTCATTCACTCTCCTCTGTGTCCTTCTCCTGTGTATGTGTCATCATTCAGGGCTCTTGTCTGGTCCATAAAGAGTCCCTGTCACTCCACACACAATGCAGACAGCATTTGAGCTAATGTTCACCAAGGTACTATCTCTTCGTTTACTGTGAATGAGCGATGCCACAATGCTGCCAGGGACATAGTACTTTAGTACCTTTTTAGTATGTTCCTGGTTCTAGGTTGGGTAATTCCATATACTGACCGCATCCTGTATCTACAGAGGGCTGACTGCATGTTCTGTCTTTTTAGAAAACTGTGAACTCATTTCTGAAATTCAGATGTAGGATCGATGTAGAAATCTAAAAAATGAAAATCGATGAGGCATTTTTTTCCCAGGTGTTTCAGAGGTGAGATCTCTCCACCTGACTACTTGGCTCCACACCTACTTAACGTGACCATTTCAAGGGGTCTACCGCTCGAGGAGTTCAATATCATGGAGAGTACAGTATGAGGAGTGAGACTTTGTTGGCTGGAATTGAGGAGGGGAGGGGGTGCTGAGAGTTTTAGGGGCTGGAAGTCAGTATTGGGAGCTTCTGGATGAACCTCCTCCATCCACCTATAACTGTTTTCGGTTCATAGAGCATCTCTACACTTGACACTTAGGCCTCCTTTCACACACAGCATTTGTACAGCTGCTGTTTTTCACGTCAGGCGGGTTTTTTGTTTGCTCTGCTTGCTTGCTCTGGGGGCACTTGTGCAGGCTCGCTTCCAAACCTTCCCCGGCTCGGCCCCACCACCTGATTGACAGCAGCGGGAACCAATGGCTTCAATTGGTTTTTCTCGGCCAATGAGGAGAGAGAGACCTGGGAGAGCCAAGGCTCCTGTGGAGAGCGCTGGATCATGATGGGGCTCAAGTAAGTGTTACTAGAGGGGGGGGGAATGTGACATAATCACATGACGCTGCTTTTGGCAGTATTTAGGATCTACCCAATGCCAAAGGAAGAAAACGTTGGTGGTAGTGCAGCTGGGTGGGGGGGACTTGTGATGTTACCAGACTAAGACCTGGGCTCCATTTGAGGTTGGACCTGGGCTCCATTTGAGGTTGGACCTGGGCTCCGTTTGAGGTTGGACCTGGGCTCCGTTTGAGGTTGGACCTGGGCTCCGTTTGAGGTTGGACCTGGGCTCCGTTTGAGGTTGGACCTGGGCTCCGTTTGAGGTTGGACCTGGGCTCCGTTTGAGGTTGGACCTGGGCCCCGTTTGAGGTTGGGGGCTGGAAGCCGGGGAGGGGGCTTCAAACAAGAGTGATTCCTTGAATGATGGAACAACTCCACACATATGGATTCTGTCTCGTTCTGTCAATCGATTGATCTCTGAATGGAGTCCTTTCTCTGTACCCAGGAGATTGGCTCTCACCTTTTGGCACTCACCCTTGTTAAAAAGTGATTATTTCCTCGCTTTGTGCTGCCAAAATCTTAAAATACATGATGTGCCGGGCTCCAAATCTTCTATCTATCTTCCCTGCAGAGGAGGTGGAGTTTTCTTCAGGTGTCCGTGTCACTGCCTGGGTGACTTTGGACACTTTCACACTGATCCATAGCAAAAAAAAAGTGCTAAAAAAAAAAGCATATGTGATTTTTCTGATAGATATATATATATATATATATAATTTTTTTTTTACCGTGATTGCAGCGCACTTTTCAAAGGACGTGTGACTCGCATCAAAAACTCAACACGGGTGCGTTTTTTTGTTGTGTCGTTTTTTTACCACGTTTTCAATGCATATCCGTGGGGTAGAACATTTTTTGGGTTTTTTACGGACCAAAAATGCAGCAAGCCAGATTTTTTACACTGCATTGGAAGCGCCAACGGACCAATGGGAAGACCTATGTAGACCAATGATCGACAAATCCCAGGCACCAGGTCGCCATTGCGACTAGCAATGGCATCCTGGCGCCTGGGTTCACACACTGTTGAGTGGTTCACACAGAATGAATGGGGGCTGAAGTCACACTGCACGTGAATCGCACAGGAACAGCAGCGACATTCATATGCACGCTAGCTCCCTTGTCTCCTCCTCCCATGCTCGTCTCCAGGACTTCTCCAGAGCTTCCCCCATCCTCTGGAACTCTCTACCCCAATCTATCAGACTATCGCCTACTCTGCCCACTACTCTGAAAACCGATCTCTTCAGGGAAGCCTCTCCTGCCCTCAGCTAATAATGGAATCTTCTACTCTTCCAACCAGTCCATCCCCCCACAGTTATTACCTTTTGTACCACCAGCCCCTCCCTCTTAGATTGTAAGCTCCCAGGATCAGGGCCCTCCTAACCCTCTTGTATTGTTGCTGTATTGTCTCCCATTATATTGTGCAGCGCTGAGCAAACTGTTGGCGCCATAAATCCTGTATAATATGTGAATGGGCCCTCAGTCGTCTTTTCTGCATTGGTCGTGCGTAGGGGCAGCTCATTGAAATGAATAGGCCGCCCGACACGAGATGTGTGGAAACTTGGCCGCTCTCGGACCCACGTTTAATAAGTTGCTAATTTGTAGTCGCTCGTACCTAGATCGATCAGATTGCTGCGTCTCGGCCATTTTTCAGGATGGACCAGCAGCTGTGTACAGCATCGGCCTATCTAATAGGATACAAATCGCAGCGAGCCTCAGACTGCACAGTGATTGGGAGATCTGATGGAATTTGTACAGAAATGGTACAATGGAATTGTAATGTGTGTGTGTGTGTGTACCAGGGGCGGACTGACCATTTGGAAACTCTGGCACTGCCCGAGGTCAGTAGGGGGCCCCATGAGATGCCCCTGGTACCTTTTTCATAGGCTTTTTGAGTTTGGGCAAGGACACGGGCCCCATGATCCCCTATTGCCCGGGGGCCCCATGAGTTTTCAGTCCGCCCCTGGTGTGTGGTCACACGGAGGCTCCAAACAGCTTGTACTGGTCCCTGATCTTCACCATAACAGTCCGCTGGATTTCTACCGGTCGGCTCTGCAAGTTTCCCATTCATTTCGAACTCTTTTTAGGCTCGGTTCACATTTTGTGCGGGTGGTGCCGCTGCGGATCCACGCGAAAATCTGCACCACCCGCACAGACGAATGTGGACCCGCAGGCGGGTGCCATTAGATCTAATGGCCCGCACTGGAAAACGCAACCGTACTGGGAACCTCGGCTGCGTTTTCAAAAGAAGTGCAGGAACTTCTTCCCTGCATGTCACAGGTCCATTTACCCTAGATTCACATCTGTGCGGGTGGTGCCGCTGCGGATCCGCATGAAAATCCATGCAGCTGCACCACCCGCACAGGGGAATGTGGACCCGCGGGCGGGTGCCATTAGTTGTAATGGCACCCGCACAGGGGAATGTGGACCCGCGGGCGGGTGCCATTAGTTGTAATGGCAAGCCGCCCGCACTGGAAACCGCAACTGTACTGGGAACCTTGGCTGCATTTTCCAAAGAAGTGCAGTGGCTTCTTTCCCTGCGTGGCACGGGAGTCCATTCAAATGAATAGGCTCTAGTGCCTGCGCGAAACGTGGCCCGCACGGCCTCAGAGATGTGAACCGGGGGTCAGATGAATGGGCTCTAGTGCCCGCGCGAAACGTGGCCCGCACGGCCTCAGAGATGTGAACCGGGGGTCAGATGAATGGGCTCTAGTGCCCATGCAAAACGTGGCCCGCACGGCCTCAGAGATGTGAACCGGGGGTCAGATGAATGGGCTCTAGTGCCCGCGCGAAACGTGGCCCGCACGGCCTCAGAGATGTGAACCGGGGGTCAGATGAATGGGCTCTAGTGCCCGCGCGAAACGTGGCCCGCAGGGCCTCAGAGATGTGAACCGGGGGTCAGATGAATGGGCTCTAGTGCCCGCGCGAAACGTGGCCCGCACGGTCACATAGATGTGAACCGGGGGTCAGATGAATGGGCTCTAGTGCCCGCGCGAAACGTGGCCCGCACGGTCACATAGATGTGAACCGGGGTCAGATGAATGGGCTCTAGTGCCCATGCAAAATGTGACCCGCACGGTCACATAGATGTGAACCAGGGCTTAGTCACCAATGCGTTTGTTGGTCTGTCTGCTCTCACAGCTCGGAGGGAAGGTCGGCCACTGATTGCCAGCAGGCTTCTATGTGAATGTTAGACGATTCATGAATATTCAGGAACTCCATTCACCCAGACAGATCCTGGACTCTATTGTGTGCTGTCAGCGGGACATCTACTGTATATGCAGCTGATCAGACTGGATGACATCTGTTAGAATATACTGACATGGATTGGACAGGTCGGTATTGTTCACCCACCCCCCATAGTCTGAACCACACTAGGCTCCAGGGGTGGACTGACAACTCATGGGGCCCCTGGACAATAGGGGATCATGGGGCCCCTGTGTCCTTGCCCAAACTCAAACCTATGAAAAAGGTACCAGGGGCATCTCATGGGGCCCCCTACTGACCCCGGGCCCTCAGGCAGTGCCTGAGTTTCCAAATGGTCAGTCCGCCCCTGCTAGGCTCTCAGCTTGTCGGGAAGGAGTATAAAAAGTCGTGTTCTTTCCTCCAATTACATTATAAAGTGTACCTGTGTTTCATGTCCCCAGTATGTGTATGTATGAATGTGAGTTAGAGACCTTAGATTGTACGCTCCTCGGGGGCGGGGCCTGATGTGAATGTACAATACATATGTAAAGCGCTGCGTACATTGACGGCGATATATAAGTACCTGAAATAAATAATACAATCTAAGGTCCCTAACTCACATTCATACATACACATACTAGGGCCAATTTAGACAGGAGCCAATTAAGCAACCAGCACACCACACCCACATGGAAGAAAAATATATTTGAAATTGAGTATTCTTCCCAAATATATTGACATGTATTTGAAATGCTACAATTTTGGCCTATATATATATAGAGCTCTCTCTCTCTCTCTCTCTCTCTCTCTCTCTCTCTCTCTCTCTCTCTCTCTCTCTCTCTCTCTCTCTCTCTCTCTCTCTCTCTCTCTCTCTCTCTCTCTCTCTCTCTCTCTCTCTCTCTCTCTCTCTCCTACAACTTTGGCAGTATTCAAATTATATGTATGTTAAAATGACAACATGCAGATATATATATATATAAATAAAACACACTGCATGTTGAAATGCATTATTACAAAATATCTGAAAAATATTTTTTCAAATATACTGTATGTCTTTAAAATACAAATCTACGTTTTTGGAATGTATTTACAAATATATGTTAAAATGACTTTTTGATGTTAAAAAAAATCTGAAGAATACATTTAAAATATAGATTTTTTTTAAAAATATATGTATTTTTTTAAATATATTCTTCAGATTTTTTTTAACATCAAAAAGTCATTTTAACATATATTTGTAAATACATTCCAAAAACGTAGATTTGTATTTTAAAGACATACAGTATATTTGAAAAAATATTTTTCAGATATTTTGTAATAATGCATTTCAACATGCAGTGTGTTTTATTTATATATATATATATATATATCTGCATGTTGTCATTTTAACATATAATTTGAATACTGCCAAAGTTGTAGCATTTCAAATACAGTGAAGGAAATGCGTATTTGCGAGTTTGGAATCTGATTGATGGCTCCTGTGGACAGCTGCCTTTTATACAGGTAACACAATGAGATTAGCAGCACTCCCTTTAAGAGACTGCTTCTAATCTCAGCTTGTTACCTGTATGAAAGACACCTGGGAGCCAGAAATCCTGCTGAATGATAGGGGATCAAATCCTTCTTTCCCTCATGAACATGCAGATCAGTCATCATTTGTTAGATGCATTTCTGCTGAATTTGTTGTTGTATTCTGTCTCTCAGTGTTACACCAAACATTCCATTGTTAGACCGATCATTTCTCTGTGAGGGGCGAACATTCAACATCAGCCGGGGAGCAAATACGCATTTCCTTCTCTGTACATGTCGATATATTTGGGAAGAATATTTTTAAAATATTTCAAATATATTTTTCTTCCATGTGGGTGTGCATGTAGCTGCGCAAAATACTGACCGGGAACACAGACTTTTTCAGGGTTCTTTTTATACGCTGTTTGTTTACATACCTGTGTACAGGCCAGGGGCGGCCTGACAACTCATGGGGCCCCTGGGCAATAGGGGATCATGGGGCCCCTGTGTCCTTGCTTAAACTCAAAAAAGCCTATGAAAAAGGCACCAGGGGCATCTCATGGGGCCCCCTACTGACCTTGGGCAGTGCCCGAGTTTCCAAATGGTCAGTCCGCCCCTGGTACAGGCACATTGTAAACAATGGGCTGCATTTTAGATCCGTAAAAAAAATGCTGTACTGTGCTTTATTTGAGCTGCAACGTGCAATAAATGAAAATAGCTGAAGTTTGGCCTTCTAACAAACCCAGGAGGTCTGGGGTGAGCATGGCATGCACTGCTGTTCATGGACGTGTCCAATGAATGGATCACCTTGTCAGTGCCCACCCTATGGGAAGTGGCTCTTGAATGTAATTTGCCGTAACTGGAAATCTTCAGTCCCCAGTCCAGCAATTCTCAGCACAGCGTGAGTGTTGGACACCTCATCCATGCATCGCACTCTTGGCTGTGAGGAACATGACAGAAGACCATGCGTGGTAGCTCTCTGCTCCATAGAAGACCATGCGTGGTAGCTCTCTGCTCCATGGAAGACCATGCGTGGTAGCTCTCTGCTCCATGGAAGACCATGCGTGGTAGCTCTCTGCTCCATGGAAGACCATGCGTGGTAGCTCTCTGCTCCATGGAAGACCATGCGTGGTAGCTCTCTGCTCCATGGAAGACCATGCGTGGTAGCTCTCTGCTCCATGGAAGACCATGCGTGGTAGCTCTCTGCTCCATGGAAGACCATGCGTGGTAGCTCTCTGCTCCATGGAAGACCATGCGTGGTAGCTCTCTGCTCCATGGAAGACCATGCGTGGTAGCTCTCTGCTCCATGGAAGACCATGCGTGGTAGCTCTCTGCTCCATGAAAGACCATGCGTGGTAGCTCTCTGCTCCATGGAAGACCATGCGTGGTAGCTCTCTGCTCCATGGAAGACCATGCGTGGTAGCTCTCTGCTCCATGGAAGACCATGCGTGGTAGCTCTCTGCTCCATGGAAGACCATGCGTGGTAGCTCTCTGCTCCATGGAAGACCATGCGTGGTAGCTCTCTGCTCCATGGAAGACCATGCGTGGTAGCTCTCTGCTCCATAGTAAACACAGGGAGTGGTTTGGCTTGGCCAAGGAACCTCAGCACTGCATTGTGGTCCAGAATATTGTGTGCCGTAACACATTGGAAGATCTCTTCTACAACCTCCAAAACCAGAAGTGCCTGAAGCATAGAAGATGACTCCAACCCAGAATCCCGTGTGTTCATGTGAGATTCAGGGAACAAATGGGGCTAAAACTGGCCTCGTCTCACCACCAATCAGGTTCTACATTCGCCCATCACCCCTTCCTTAAGATCAGTGTGTCTGCATAACCACCAACCATTTTACATCTTCACAGGAACATGACCGTTGGAAGGTAAAGATCTGATTGGTGTGTGGGGCAATACAGACAGTTATGTGAAATGTGTTCATTAATGCGACCCCCTTACTTTTCTTCTCTTTGCATTGCGATGAAGCGCTGGAAGTTCTGTTATTCGTTTTGAATTCTTTCTCTGTTGCAGCCTACTCGTCCATCCAGCTCTGCGGCCTCCAGTGGCACAGCCGGGGCCTCCGGATCTGCATCGGCATCATGTGGAGAAATCAGCAGCAGCGAGCCCAGTACTCCGGCGCAAACCCCTCTGGCTGCTCCCATAATCCCCTCACCCTCTCTGACCTCTCCAGTGGCTCCAATGCCTCCTCCTGGGCCCAGCAAGGTAACCGATTTTAGCCTATAATAATGCAGAAATTACATTTTTTTTCTTTAAAGCAGAGTTCCACCCAAAAGAGGAAGTTCCGTTTTTAAGCCTTTGTCCCACGCTCCCCATTAAGGATTGGCACCTTTTGGGGAGCGGGTACCTGAATTTGACAGGTACCCGCTTCTGCTGTGATTGCCTCCCCCTCCCTTCCCCTCTCCCCTCTCCCCCTCCCTTCCCCCCCCCCTTCCCCCCCTCCCTTCCCCCCCTCCCTTCCCCCCTCCCTTCCCCCCTCCCTTCCCCCCCCCCTTCCCCCCTCCCCATCCCCTCCCCCCCCCTTCCCTGCCCCTCCCCCTCCCCCCTCCCTTCCTCTCCCCCTCCCTTCCTCTCCCCCTCCCTTCCTCTCCCCCTCCCTTCCTCTCCCCCTCCCTTCTCCTCCCCCTCCCTTCCCCTCCCCCTCCCTTCTCCTCCCTTCCCCTCCCCCCCCCTTCCCCTCCCTCCCCCTCTCCCCCCTTCCCCCTCCTACCCCCCTTCCCCTCCCTTCCCCCCTCCCTCCTTCCTCTACCTCTCTCCCCCCCCCCCCTCCCCTCTTTCTTTCCTCTTCTCTTCCCCCCCCCCCCTCCCCCTCTTTCCTCTCTCAACCCCCCCTCCCCCTCTTTCCTCTCTCTTCCCAAGAAAGAAAGAGGAGGCAGCTGAGAGGCCCCCCTCTTTCCTCTCTCTCCCCCCCTCCCCCCCCTCCTCTACCCCCCTTTTCCCTCTTTCCTCTCTCCCCCTCCCCCTCTTTCCTCTCTCTCTCCCCCCGCCCCCCTCTTTCCTCTCTCCCCTCCTCCCTCCCCCTCTTTCCCTCCTCTCTTCCCCCCCCCCCCCCTCTTTCCTCTCTCTTCCCCCCCTCCCCCTCTTTCCTCTCTCTCTCCCCCCCTCCCCCCTCTTTCCTCTCTCTCTCCCCCCCTCCCCCTCTTTCTCTCTCTCTCCCCCCCCTCCCCCTCTTTCCTCTCTCCCCCCCCTCCCCCTCTTTCCTCTCTCTCTCCTCCCCCCCTCCCCCTCTTTCCTCTCTCTCCCCCCTCCCCCTCTTTCCTCTCTCTCCTCCCCCCCCCCCTCCCCCTCTTTCCTCTCTCTCTCCCCCCCTCCCCCTCTTTCCTCTCTCTCCCCCCCTCCCCCTCTTTTCCTCTCTCTCCCCCCCTCCCCCTCTTTCCTCTCTCCCCCTCCTTCCTCTCCCCCTCCCTCCCCCCTCCCCCTCCTTCCTCTCCCCCTCCCCCTCCCCCTCCTTCCTCTCCTCCCTCCCTCCCCCCCCTCCCCCTCCTTCCCTCTCCCCTCCCTCCCCCCTCCCCCTCCTTCCTCTCTCCCTCTCCACAAAGTGCAGCACTTCTCGCGCATGCGCAGTGGGCACCCGGCTGTGAAGCCATAACTTGTCACAGCCGAGTGCCCACACTGAAGATGCCGGCGACTGGAACACAGGGCGGCTGGTGAAACGGGCTGCGGGGAGGACATAGAGGGCCCGATAAGTGGCTTTTTTTTTTTTAAAGTCAGCAGCTACAGTTTTTTTTGTAGCTGCTGACTACTATTTTTTTTTTTTTTTTTTTTTACAGTGTGAGTGAAATTCCGCTTTAAGGTTTGTGGAGAAATCTTTGATTCCATTTTTCTATCAATAATATGTATGGTGCCTTTAAGGACGACATTTGTAGCCCTCTCCTTCTGGAGGCAGCAGAAAGGAGTTTCCTGGATACCGGGGATGGCAGGCAGGTTGTGGGTCCTACATTTAGGCAGGACGATTCTCAGAAATCTGTCAGCTTTCAGTAAAATGGATAATCCATGACCCTCCACAGAGTCCCTGACACCAAGTCTACACCTGTGTATGGGGGACCTGACACTAATCTGTCTTTATTTTCCAATGGCACAGGAGGAGGAGAACCTACGGGCTCAGGTGAAGGACCTGGAGGAGAAGCTGGAGACTCTGAAGATGAAGAGGGCTGAGGACAAGGCCAAGCTGAAAGAGCTGGAGAAATCCAAACTACAGCTGGAGCAGTTACAGGAATGGAAGAGTAAGATCCAGGAGCAGCAGGCCGACCTGCAGAAGCAACTCAAGGAGGCCAAGAAGGTGAGGGAGACATACTTGTACCTGCAGGCCAGGAAGGCGAGGGAGATGTCCTTGTACCTGCAGGCCAGGAAGGCGAGGGAGATGTCCTTGTACCTGCAGGCCAGGAAGGCGAGGGAGATGTCCTTGTACCTGCAGGCCAGGAAGGTGAGGGACACGTCCTTGTACCTGCAGGCCAGGAAGGTGAGGGACACGTCCTTGTACCTGCAGGCCAATAAGGTGAGGGACACGTCCTTGTACCTGCAGGCCAGCAAGGTGAGGGACACGTCCTTGTACCCTTTAGGCCAGCAAGGTGAGGGACACGTCCTTGTACCTGCAGGCCAGCAAGGTGAGGGACACGTCCTTGTACCTGCAGGCCAGCAAGGTGAGGGACACGTCCTTGTACCTGCAGGCCAGCAAGGTGAGGGACACGTCCTTGTACCTGCAGGCCAGCAAGGTGAGGGACACGTCCTTGTACCTGCAGGCCAGCAAGGTGAGGGACACGTCCTTGTACCTGCAGGCCAGCAAGGTGAGGGACACGTCCTTGTACCTGCAGGCCAGCAAGGTGAGGGACACGTCCTTGTACCTGCAGGCCAGCAAGGTGAGGGACACGTCCTTGTACCTGCAGGCCAGCAAGGTGAGGGACACGTCCTTGTACCTGCAGGCCAGCAAGGTGAGGGACACGTCCTTGTACCTGCAGGCCAGCAAGGTGAGGGACACGTCCTTGTACCTGCAGGCCAGCAAGGTGAGGGACACGTCCTTGTACCTGCAGGCCAGCAAGGTGAGGGACACGTCCTTGTACCTGCAGGCCAGCAAGGTGAGGGACACGTCCTTGTACCTTGCAGTACTCAAGAGCCTACAGAACCCAGTGCAGCCTGTACAGATAACACGACCTGTCTGTGCAGAACTGTTCCAGGCTCTGAACTACTCGGGTAAGAAAACCACTTCCTCAGGGATGTCATAAGTCGCAAACAAAGTTTATTAACCACTTCCTGTCTGGCCCATGTACATAAATGGCCGGATGGGAGCAGTGCAAGAGCGGGTTGCCGTTCATAAACTGCGCCCGCATTTACAGCCTGTGGGCGCTTCCTGGGAACACCGATCGCTGTACAGGACATCTGTGTGAGGTCCCGATTCATGTGATCACTGGCCAATCAGTGATCACATGAATAATAGTAAGCAAGATGTCACTTCCTGACATCATTGCTTACTACGTGTGAAATCTGTGAATCACAGAGATCACATGGTACAGGGCCATTCACAACAGCCTTGTACCATGTGACAAGCTGTGACCAATCACAGCTCACAGTATTTCTCAATGGCTGCAGGAATGCAGCCAGAGAGAAGGAGAAATGATTGCTTTTACAGTCTTAATGGGTGTAAAAGCAATCGGTGTAAAAAAAAAAAAAAAATCTTCATCACTGCCCCATTATGGTGACATTGTACTGCTAAGATGACAGTATGTAAAAAAACAAATTAATATAAAAATGTAGAAAAACGTTTTTGAAAAAATAATTTTTTGGTTATAAACTAATTTGGGATATATATATAATTTTTTTTTTTACTAAAATTTTAATTGAATACATTTTTGGCCAAGATTTATGAAAGATTTATTTTCAAAATTGTATAAGAATAACACTTTCAAAATTTGTGGAATTTTTCATTTATATAGCAAAAAAAATACAAATCCCAGCGGTGAATAAATACCACCAAAATAAAGCTTTATCTGTCTCAAAAAAATGCTAAAAAATCCATATGGGTACAGTGTTGCATGACCGCAATTGTCATTCAAAGTGTGATAGCGCTGAAAGCTGAAAATTGCCCTGGACAGGAAGGGGGGGGGGGGAAGTGTCCGGACTGGAAGGGGGTGAAAGTGTCCGGACTGGAAGGGGGTGAAAGTGTCCGGACTGGAAGGGGGGGGGGGGGGTGAAAGTGTCCGGACTGGAAGGGGGGGGGGGGGGGGGAAGTGTCCGGATTGGAAGGGGGGGGGGGGGGGGGGAGTGTCCGGACTGGAAGGGGGGGGGGGTGGGGGAGTGTCCGTACTGGAAGGGGGGGGGGGGAGTGTCCGGACTGGAAGGGGGGGGGGGGAGTGTCCGGACTGGAAGGGGGGGGGGGGGGGGGAGTGTCCGGACTGAAAGGGGGGGGGGGGAGTGTCCGGACTGAAAGGGGGGGGGGGGAGTGTCCGGACTGAAAGGGGGGGGGGGGGGGGGGGGGGGGAGTGTCCGGACTGAAAGGGGGGGGGGGGGGGGGGGAGTGTCCGGACTGAAAGGGGGGGGGGGGGGGGAGTGTCCGGACTGAAGGGGGGGGGGGGGGAGTGTCCGGACTGGAAAGGGGGGGGGGGGGGAGTGTCCGGACTGGAAAGGGGGGGGGGGGGTAGTGTCCGGACTGGAAAGGGGGGGGGGGGGGGGGGGGTAGTGTCCGGACTGGAAAGGGGGGGGGGGGTAGTGTCCGGACTGGAAGGGGGGGGGGTAGTGTCCGGACTGGAGGGGGGGGGGGGGGGGGGGGTAGTGTCCGGACTGGAAGGGGGGGGGGGGTAGTGTCCGGACTGGAAGGGGGGGGGGGGGGGGGGGGAGAGAAGTGTCCGGACTGGAAGGGGGGGGGGGGGGGGGGGGGGGGGAGAGAAGTGTCCGGACTGGAAGGGGGGGGGGGGGGGGGGGGGAGAGAAGTGTCCGGACTGGAAGGGGGGGGGGGTGGAAGGGTCCAGACTGGAAGGGGGGGGGGTGGAAGGGTCCGGACTGGAAGGGGGGGGGGTGGAAGGGTCCGGACCGGAAGGGGGGGGTGGAAGGCAACACGTCGTACTTCCATATAGTTCCATATGCTCCCAGGCAACACGTCGTACTGCCATACGCTCCCAGTCCGTGTCTCCTTGTTTTGTTTCGGTGTCACACCAAGTAAGGGAAATATCTCATTTGCAAGCACAGAGTCATTAAAGACTTTTTTTTTTTTTTTTTTCCAATTTTTCTGTATTTTTTGTGCGCTTTTAGGAAGCCAAAGAGGCCCTGGAGGCCAAGGAGCGCTACATGGAGGAGATGGCGGACACAGCCGACGCCATCGAGATGGCCACTCTGGATAAAGAAATGGCGGAGGAGAGAGCGGAGTCTCTACAGCAAGAGGTGGAAACCATGAAAGAAAAGGTGGAGGAGCTGACCATGGACTTGGAGATCCTGAAACACGAGATCGAGGAGAAAGGTGAGCACAGCGGAATCGGTTATCATGGGGGAGGGCCATAAACGTGTCTGCTCTCCCCTCCACCCGCCATGTTGGCCCGGGGGCCACAGATGGGCAAGCAGAGCCTGGAATACATGGCGGGAGCAACAGTACCGGGTGCTGTGGAAGCCATCGGGGGGTGTGACGCAACGCGGTGCATGAACCCTGCCCTTCTCACCGACTTGTGACAAAGCATCGGCCAATCTCACACTGCGCTGTCACTTGGCGTCACCATTGCACCCTCAGCTGCACACTGCACAAAGATTTTTCAGCTCGCGGGACCACAATCTAATGAGCATCTTACTGGGAAATATCCGGATCAAGACCTGTAGACATTACTGAGCTGTGCCTGGATGTGGAGGAAGGAATTGAGTTGTATATCTGGGCGGAATAGAGATTTGTGAGCTGTGGTTGTCTGTTGTAGACATTAACCCTTTCTCTGCCAGAGCCGTTTTCGCATACATGTTTAAAAAAACATTTATTTTAGACCTGAAGATTACACAAAACCCCCAAAACGTTTTATATTTTCTGAAAGAGGACACCCTAGAGCACCGGTGTCAAAATGGCGGCCCTCCAGCTGTGGCCAAACTACAAGTCCCATGAGGCATTGCAAGATTGACAGTTACAAGTATGACTCCCAAAGGCAGAGGCATGATGGGACTTGTAGTTTCACAACAGCTGGAGGGCCGCCAGTGTGACATCCCTGGGTTAAAGTGTTAGAAGAGTCCGTTTTTTGTTTTGTTTTTTTTTTTGTTTTGTTGTGTTCTGTGTTTTGTTGTATTCTGTGGTTTTTGTTTTGTTATTTTAGGGTTTTTTATTGTATTTTTTTTTTTTTTTACGCCTACAGGTAAGCCTATAATACCAGAAAATATCTCCTAAACATGCACCATTTTTAGGAGATATTTACTTTTGCGCCTCTGGTGATGTCACTGGCGCATGCGCACTGCTCTCTCCATGGCGGGTGTGCTGTCCATGGAGAGAGCTGTGCCACAGCCTATTGTCCCGCACGCAGCTTGGGCATTCAAATTGAACCCGGATGGAAGACTGGCTGAAGCCGTGACAGCGCTCTGCTGGACGGTTTCATTTTCAGGTAATTCTTTCATACGACACAAAAACCGCTAAAATCGGGATCCCCGGACACAGAAAAAATGTATATAAATTGTCTGTAGATGATGCCGACTCACCCAGAAGTTGAAGGTGGTGCTCTCGGGACCAAACGCACGTAGTAGGAAAAATGCCAGTGGGTAGAGACCCCCTTCTCCAGGGAGAAGTTTTCTTGTTTGTTTTTGGTTTGTGTGTGTGTTTTTTTTTTTTTTTTTTTTTTTTTTTTTTTGGGTTTTTTGTTTGCTACTGCTTGAAAAAAAAGAATAATTTGTGGTGCTCATATACAGTGTAGTTGCGCTTTAAAGAGCTGTGTGTCTGGATAGGACGGAGTAATGTAGTCTGCCTGTTTCCCGGCATGTAGGGTCAGACGGAGCCGCCTCCAGTTATCAGGTGAAGCAGTTGGAGGAGCAGAATGGCCGGCTGAAGGAAGCTCTGGTCAGGTAAGAGGACACCCTCTGATGACCCTGTATGTCAGTCTGATATGTAGCGGTGCACACGGGTAGTCACACTGTGTACTATGGCAGGATGAGGGACCTCTCGGCCTCAGAGAAGCAGGAGCACGTCAAAGTGCAGAAACATCTGGAGAAGAAGAACACCGAGCTGGATACCCTGCGGCAGCAGAAGGAGAAGATGCAGGAAGAAGTGTCCCACATGGAGAAGACCATCGATGAGCTGAAGGAGCAGGTGACACCAGCGTCCATTCTCACTCAGACTTGTAGTCATGCCTTCAGTCTATACAATCTGACAAGGTCACTCGTATGACTGCTTCCCTGTGTGTTGTACTCAGGTGGACGCAGCTCTGGGGGCTGAAGAAATGGTGGAGACTCTGGCGGAGAGGAACCTGGATCTGGAAGAGAGAGTCCGTGAACTGCGAGAGACGGTCACTGACCTGGTGTGTGCCCCTATTATTATTATTATACAGGATTTATGGCGCCAACAGTTTGCTCAGCGCTTTACAATATAACGGGAGACAATACAGTTCAATACAAGAGGGATAGGAGGGCCCTGATCCTGGGAGCTTACAATCTAAAAGGGAGGGGCTAGTGGTACAAAAGGTAATAACTGTGGGGGATGGGCTGGTAGGAGGAATAGAAGATTCCATTATTAGCTGAGGGCAGGATAGGCTTCCGTGAAGAGATGGGTTTTCAGAGATCGCCTAAAAGTGAGCAGAGTAGGCGATAGTCTGATAGATTGGGGTAGAGAGTTCCAGAGGATGGGGAAAGCTCTAGAGAAGTCCCTGGAGGAGACAAGGGAGGTAGAGAGTAGGAGGTCTTGCGAGGAGCGGAGAGGACGGTTTGGGTGATATTTGGAGACAAGATTGGTGATGTAATTTAGGACAGAGTTATAGATGGCTTTATACGTTATTGTTAGTGTGTTGAGTTTTTTATCCGATGTGGGCAATGGAAAGCCAGTGGAGGGATTGGCAGAGAGGGATGGAGGACACTGAATGGAGGCCAGTGGAAGGATTGGCAGAGAGGGATGGAGGGAATGGAGGCAGAGATTGGGGATGGAGGACACCGAATGGAGGCCAGTGGAAGGATTGGTAGAGAGGGATGGAGGCCAGTGAAGGGATTGGCAGAGAGGGATGGAGGACACTGAATGGAGGACAGTGGAGGGATTGGCAGAGAGGGATGGAGGACACTGAATGGAGGCCAGTGAAGGGATTGGCAGAGAGGGGTGGAGGACACTGAATGGAGGCCAGTGGAGGGATTGGCAGAGAGGGATGGAGGCCAGTGGAGGGATTGGCAGAGAGGGGTGGAGGGATTGGCAGAGAGGGATGGAGGACACTGAATGGAGGCCAGTGGAAGGATTGGTAGAGAGGGATGGAGGCCAGTGAAGGGATTGGCAGAGAGGGATGGAGGACACTGAATGGAGGACAGTGAAGGGATTGGCAGAGAGGGGTGGAGGACACTGAATGGAGGCCAGTGGAGGGATTGGCAGAGAGGGATGGAGGCCAGTGAAGGGATTGGCAGAGAGGGCTGGAGGACACTGAGTGGAGGTCAGTGGAGGGATTGGCAGAGAGGGCTGGAGGACACTGAATGGAGGCCAGTGGAGGGATTGACAGAGAGGGGTGGCAGATACAGAGCGGTTAGTAAGGTGGATGAGTCTGGCAGCAGCATTCATGATAGACTGAAGAGGGGATAGCCTGCGATGTGAGGTCGGCCAATGAGGAGGGAGTTACAATAGTCATGGCCAGATATAACAAGGGAGTGAATACGTTGCTTCGTGGTTTCCGAGGTGAAGAACAGTCCTATAGGTCACACTGAAATTCAAAACATTAACAATAACATATAAAGCCATTTATAACTCCGCCCCAAATTATATCACCGATCTTGTCTCCAAATATCACGCAAACCGTCCTCTCCGCTTGCTATGGGGTCTCACAGAAGAGGAGGAGCCTAAAGCACCAATAGGGGACCCGAGTAGAGGCAGTTCAGGGCCGCTCTGTGCAATCCCATTGATGAGTTACATGTTTGTTGTTTTAATTTTTTTTTTTTTTTTAAATCTAGACTTTACAATCACTTTAAGTTTCCTCTACAAACCTCTCCCAGTCCTTCAGGAAAGGAGCGCACTTTCCAAGACGCCGCGTTCTGCGGAGAGCTTTACCCACCTCTATGTAGATGCTGCCACTTTTTGATCTTTGCACTGAAATTTCATTCTAAGCCGCCAGATGCCATATTTCCATCTCAGTCCGGTGTGTTCTTTTTACGCCTTTTCTTTCAGGAAGCCATCAACGAGATGAATGACGAGCTCCAAGAAAACGCCCGTGAGACAGAGCTGGAACTGCGCGAGCATCTAGATATGGCGAATGCCCGAGTACGTGAGGCGGAGAAACGCGTAGAGGCCGCTCAGGAAACCGTGGCCGATTACCAGCAGACCATCAAGAAATACCGAGATCTGACTGCTCATTTACAGGTGATCAGATTGTTATTATACAGTATTTATAAAGCGCCGATAGTTGGCTCAGCGCTGTACATTACAGAGGGGGACAGAACATGTGACAGAACAATACCAATACAATGCAAAACATGAGGGGATCGAGGGCCCTGATCCTTGGAGCTTACAATCTAGGAGACAATCAGATGACCTCGAATGATCGATATGCTTTGATCAGAATATACTCCATTGTTCTGAATGAATCCACATAACAATAGATCATATACTTACGTTTTATTTATATCCACTGGTATATATTTATCATCATTTCACACAGTGATCATCACAATGGATGGATACCAATTTTTAACATACACCATTCTTTATGTCTTTTAACATTAGCATATTGTATATATTTTTCTTCGTTTTCTAGTGTGAATAAGATACTTTTTTTTTTAACCTATATTCCGTTAAAACTAAGGATTATAGACAACTCTGACGAGTGTTGTTGAGTCCCCACATGGCAAAACATTGAAATCTCCATTAACATGGCCGCTATTCATTCTGGTCCAGGCTTCGGCAAGATAGCCACGGTGATCACGTGACCAGCAAAATGGCTGCGATCACCTCCATGGTTTTTTTTTTTTTTTTTTTTTTTTTTTTTTTTTTTTTGCACCTTGCGGGCTATATAAAGGAGTCATTTTAAGATGTCACCAATGGACGTGCCCCTGAGGACATGTTGGTACACGACACGCGTTGGGTGGAGCCCTATTGCTGACACGCCGCCGCTGCCATTGAGGAGCGGTGGCCATCTTGCTGAGCTAATTCCTCCCCAGGACCATTTGGGCACCCACCCTGATGGATGGATGGAGCTGGATGACTAACCCATAGCTTCCAGCATACCGCTGCACCCCCAGATGTGTGATGTGTATAACCCATACGCATTAATACTTTGTTCTGGTGAGTGTAGACCAGTCCCAAGGGTGGATTACCTTTCACGAGTCATGCACTACTGTCCGTCATGGAGAAACCACACGTGTCATTCATAGGCACTCTCTGAGTTGGTACTCTCACACCAAAGACATTCCATTATCCAGGAATGATTATATGAACTTATTTTAGCACCATTTACCATTTTACATCATTATTGCACTTATTTGATTTTACATGCGTTTATGATTGATCACATGGTGTAAATTCCTCCTGCGCTATATGGAGTACCTAGACATGCAAGCCGCTAACGCTCCAAACTGATACCTTGAGCAGTGAACAGGAATAAAACAAATCTTATAGTGCAGCGCTACTGAAAGGTAATTCCGATATCAACTCATATGACATACAAATAAATATATTCGTCAAAATAAATGATCAAAACTGATATCACATGAACTCCTATAACAAAATCATAAGTGATCTATAGTCCTGTTACCATTAACGGACTGGTAACTCAGTACACGCCACACGTGTGTAGACATATACTAGGCCCCTTTGAATCACACACTGCAAACGTGATCAGTGTACATACTATGGTGACCAACTTATATATTGAGAAATAATTTCCCTAATGCAAAAGTTCATAAATCGTTCAGATTCGTGCTGCACTCAATAACCGTTCATGCAAAAGTCATAACACAGGTGATGATTTCCAGTGATGGTGTCAACACACTCCTCTTATGGCTCGATTGCCCTCTCACCTTCACTCTGCGACCCAATGGGCCATCACGCCTCCAAGATCACTTATAGATCTTACTCCAGTAATCGTAGATATCCTCAATACTCCTTCCGTGGACCCCTTCACAGGTGGATCAATATTCAAGACTCTCAGGACAGTGACATCAACTAAATATACCACTCATCATAGAGCATGATGAGTGAAGAAAAGATCTTGTAAAATGTAGTTTCCAAACAGCAACAACAAACCACATGCATGGGTGTACTGCATGGGATAGGGCACATCCAGGTGTACCAAGATGGCGGCCGTGCCGGATGCACGTCACCGCGGACCGGAAGTTGCGTCACGGCGTATCTACGCGTTGCGTCACTTAACACGTGACTTCCTCGGTGTACCCTGAGGAAGTCACGTGTTAAGTGACGCAACGCGTAGATACGCCGTGACGCAACTTCCTCAAAGTATACCCTGAGGAAGTCACGTGTTAAGTGACGCAACGCGCAGATACACCGTGACGCAGCTTCCGGTCCGTGGTGACGTACATCGTACATGTCAATTATATTCATCTTGTGTAATACCATTTTAGTAGGCTATATAATTTTACCAGCGCTCGCTTTATCATTTTTATATATAGAAAAATGTTTCTTTTTTAAAAATGTTCGTGTATTTGCATGGAGTTGTACAGGAGCACTGATAGTGGGTGGTGTCGTCTGTTGTAGGAGGTGAACAGAGAGCTCCGGAACCAGCAGGAGGCCACGGTGGAGAAGGAGCAGCAGCCGTCTCCCGAAATGTTTGACTTCAAGATCAAGTTTGCCGAGACCAAGGCCCATGCCAAGGTAAGGATGGCAGGAAGAGAAGCTGTCCTTTTATATCTGTAGTCTGCAGGGTACGGGCTGGGCTGGCACGTTGATCAGATCAAAGAACGACACTTGTCTGTACTGTCCTTCAGGCCATCGAGATGGAGCTGCGCAAGATGGAGGTGAACCAGGCCAATCGCCACGTGTCCCTCCTGACCTCCTTCATGCCGGACAGCTTTCTGCGACACGGAGGGGATCATGACTGTATCCTGGTGTTACTGCTCATCCCCAGACTCATCTGCAAGGTCAGATTTCTTACCTCTGGGTCCATACCTGTCGTGTCTAGAGACAGTGTGCCCATTGTGTGTTCAGCCCCTACACTGTATTGGTGTCAACTGTGCCCACTGGTTACCTCCCCCCTCTCCTGTGTTATCCCTACACTGTATTGGTGTCACTGTGCCCACTGGTTACCTCCCCCCCTCCTGTGTTATCCCTACACTGTATTGGTGTCACTGTGCCCACTGGTTACCTGTCCCCCTGTCCTGTGTTATCCCTACACTGTATTGGTGTCACTGTGCCCACTGGTTACCTACCCCCTCTCCTGTGTTATCCCTACACTGTATTGGTGTCACTGTGCCCACTGGTTACCTGCCCCCTCTCCTGTGTTATCCCTACACTGTATTGGTGTCACTGTGCCCACTGGTTACCTACCCCCTGTCCTGTTATCCCTACACTGTATTGGTGTCACTGTGCCCACTGGTTACCTGTCCCCTGTCCTGTGTTATCCCTTCACTGTATTGGTGTCACTGTGCCCACTGGTTGGTGACTCCCCCACTATCCCTACAAATTGGTGTCACTGTGCCCACTGGTTACCTGATCAAGCGGATCCCTACACTATGGTGTCACTGTGCCCAGTTATCCCTGTTAACCCTACACTGTATTGGTGTCAGGCTGAAAACTGTGCCCCTGGTTACTCCCCCCCCTCTCCTGTGTTATCCCTACACTGTTGTCATATAACTGGTTTCCTGCCCCCGGCCTGTTATCCCTACACTGTATTGGGTCAGTGCCCAGGGGCAGGTGGTCCTGTTTTATAAACAGTCCCTGTGGCCCCCGCCCCCTGCTTGTGCGCGCAGCATTGCAATGGGTTGCCCAAGATGTTAACCCCTTACAGGCTGAAAACCTGTACACCTATACCTTGTATATAAACGGACGGTGGCTGAGGGGCGGGTGGCTGTTTTATCATACGGGACCAATCCTGCCCGCTGTGTCCTCCGAACCGATCATGTGATCACTGATTGGCCAATCAGTGATCACATGCAGAGTAGTAAGCAAGATGTCACTTCTGACATTGCTTACTACGTGTGAAATCTGTGAATGATCACATGGTACAGGGCTATTCACAACAGCCTTGTACCATGTGACAAGCTGTGACCAATCACAACTCCCTCAGTATTTCTCAATGGCTGCAAGAATGCAGCCAGAGAGAAGTGAATGCTTTTACAGCCTTTATGGGTGTAAAAGAAGAAAAAAAAATCATCATCACCCACAAGTAGTTATATGCTGTTACACAGTTAATATTTATGTTAATGTCCATGAGAATTCATATAGATTCTTTGTACCATTTCCTATGGACATTTCTATAATTGGTAATGCTGCCATCCAGTGGCCTTATTTGGTAATGCATTTGTTTTTCATATTGCCTCCCTGAGATCTATGACACAAATCCTTTGTATATGAAGCTCCTCCCTTCTTCTTGAGTTCAGCACTTCCTGTGTCATGGAGGCAGCTAACAGTCCACATGTAACAGGGACACATGTATTCTGCATAGTACGCTACAGAAAGTATCATCTTTTGACCGCATAATACTGGAAACCATTCATTCTGCTGTATCCTGTTGTCACATGTACAGAATAAAGCAACTTCTGGATGAACACAGTATTGGTGAGTTCAAGCTATCTGATAAGGATTGTCCACAGTGATTATATCTGCTTATACAGGCTAGGCAGAGAGGTCTCACGAGGGATAAATCGCTATCACAACAATCTGAGTCAGAATAAGTAGTGTCACAGATTTCACACGTAGTAAGCAATGATGTCAGAAGTGACATCTTGCTTACACCTATTCATGTGATCACTGATTGGCCAATCGGTGATCACATGATCAGGACCTCACAAAGTGGTCCTGTACAGCGATCGGTGTCCCGCTGAGTCCTCCAGACACATCGGGCACCAGATCGCGGTGCCGCGCGCGCTCCCAGGGAGCGCGCACAGGCAGTTAAAGCGGAGGCCGTTTATAAACAGCCACCTGCTCCTGCACTGCCACCATCCAGCCATTTATGTACATGGGCAGGACAAGAAGTGGTTCAGGGCTCTTTCACGCAGGCGTTCCATATGTCCGGTTTTCATCTGTCCGTTTACAGATGAAAAACATGACATCCATGTATTTCTATGGACTAGCGGATGTAAACGGATGATCATCTGTTTACATCTGATAGTGTCCGCATTTGTTAACATCCGTTTTTTTTGAACGGAAGAAAACCCTGGAAAACGGAACGGACGAAAAAACGGAAGTAAACAGACACATGGTCTGTTTTTTGCATTGGTAAAGGATGTAAAAAAAAAAAAAAAAAAAAAAATGTAAACTGATGAAAAACGAATGTGAACTGATCTGTTTTCTTGGAGAAAACGTGACTGAACAGATTAAAAAACCGGAAGCACCCGTGTGAGAGGACGGGTTGGCCATGCAATCATCGTGCGCTGATGTGGGGGGGGGGTTGTGATGTACTGTGTGTGTGTTTCAGGCGGAGCTGATCAGTAAGCAGGCGCAGGAGAAGTTCGAGCTGTCGGAGACGAGTGAGAAGACGGGTATGAGGGGAGCCGTGGGAGAGCAGATGAGCTTTGCTGCCGGTCTGGTCTATTCCCTGAGCCTCCTGCAGGCCACGCTACACAAATACGAGCAGTGAGTGACCTTCCATCATGGCGGATTTATCTGGGATCACAGGGACGGGGGGTTGTACTGAGATAATCCAGGGTGACAAGTGCTACTCCAGATGTACCGTGTTGTAGCTCACAATCGGTTCTGATACCTGACCTCAAATGAGCTTCATCAAAACATGTCCATCCTGCCTCTTTTTAAAGTGGTTGAAGAGCTCAGACATGAAATATGAACAAAGCACATCCCTCTGTAGTGTGTACTTGTCTCAGTCCAGAGCACTAAGTGTCATTTCTCTAAGGCAGGGGTGTACAAACTATGGCCCTCCAGCTGTTGAAGTACTAAAAGTCCCATCATGCCTGTGGATGTCAGTCTTGCAAGGCCTCATGGGACTTGCAGTTCCTCAACACCTGGAGGTCCATAGTTTGGACACCCCTGCTCTAAGGCATATACTGCAACCCTGCAAAAGAGTGACTGGCCAGACAGACTTGTCTTCCAACAACTTTACTTGTATCTGTGGGTACCACTTGACCTCCGGAATATTTTCCCCCTTTATGACCAGGGCATTTTTTTTTTTTTTTTTTTTTTTTTTTGCTATTCAGCACTGCACTACTTTAACTGGCAATTGCACAGTCATGCAACACAGTACACAAATGGAGTTTACATCTTTTCTTTCACACAGAGAGCTTTGATCACCACAGAGTGGTATTCACACAGAGTGGTATTTGATCACCACTGGGGTTTTATTTTTTGCTGTATAAATGAAAAAAAAAATTGGGGGGGGGGGGAGGGGGGGAATGTTTTTCATAATTTGTTATAAAATGTTGCTGTTAAATAATCTTTCTTCCTACATTTAGGCCAAAATGTGTTCTGCTACATTTCTTTGTAAAAATACCCCAAATCAGTGTATATTATTTAGTCTGTAGGAAAGTTATAGAGTTCACAAACTATGGGATATACACTATATATTGCCCCAAGTATTTCCACGCACATGACCTCTCATGGGCTCCCAGTCTGAGTCCGTAGGGATCAATATTGAGTTGGCCCCGCCCTTTCCACGCACATGGACTTTAATGGCCTCCCAGTCTTAGTCCGTAGGGTTCAATATTGAGTTGGCCCCGCCCTTTCCACGCACATGACCTTTAATGGCCCCCAGTCTTAGTCCGTAGGGTTCAATATTGAGTTGGCCCCGCCCTTTGCAGCTATAACAGCTTCAACTCTTCTGGGAAGGCCGTCCACAAGGTTTAGGAGGGTATCTATGGGAAGGTTGGACCATTCTTCCAGAAGCACATTTGTCAGGTCAGGCACTGATGTCGGGGGAGGAGGCCTGGCTCGCAGTCTCCGCTCTAATTCATCCCAAAGGTGTTCTATGGGGTTGAGGTCAGGACTCTGTGCAGGACAGTCAAGTTCCTCCACCCCAAACTGGCTCCTCCATGTCTTTATGGACCTTGCTTTGTGCACTGGTGCGCAGTCATGTTGGAACAGGAAGGGGCCATCCCAAACTCTTCCCACAAAGTTGGGAGCATGAAATTGTCCAAAATGTCACCTTAAGAGTTCCCTTCACTGGAACTAGGGGGCCAAGCCCAACCCCTGAAAAACAACCCCACACCATAATCCCCCCTCCACCAAACTTTACACTTGGCACAATGCAGTCAGGCAAGTACCGTTCTCCTGACAACCACCAAACCCAAACACGTCCAACGGATTGCCAGACAGAGAAATGTGATTGGTCCCTCCAGAGAACACGCCCCCACTGCTCTAGAGTCCAGTGGTGGCGTGCTTTACACCACAGCATCCGACGCTTTGCATTGCACTTGGTGATGGAAGGCTTGGATGCAGCTGCTCGGCCATGGAAACCCATTCCATGAAGCTCTCTACGCACTGTTGTTGGGCTCATCTGAAGGCCACACCAAGTTTGGAGGTCTTTAGCTATTGACTCTGCAGACAGTTGGCGACTTCTGCGCACTGTGCGCTTCAGCATGCGCTGACCCCGCCCTGTCATGTGACATGGCCTACCACTTGGTGGCTGAGTGGCTGTTGCTCCCAGTGGCTTCCACTTTGTTATAATCCCACTAACAGTTGAGCGTGGAATATTTAGTAGCCAGGAAATGTCACGGATGGACTTATTGCCCAGGTGGCCACCTATCACGGGACCACGCTTGGAGGCTCTGGTTCTGACCAATAAGGGCTGCTAGTGCCGGGGGGTGGGGTGGGGGGGCTCTGGGGGGGGGGGGGGGGGCAGCTCTGGAGCTTGAAGAGGATAAATAAAGCTTGGGCACCTTTTTCCTCCTCGTGGGAATGGGAGTAAATATTTTAAAAAATAAAGCTGCAGTCTTACTTTGGTTCAGCAATGCAGGACACGACAGGTTCCATTGTTTTCTGCAGCTGCTCAGTCCTCCTGCACACGGGACGTTCTTACAGCGGCTGTTTTTGGCGTTTGACGTTTTTTCTACAGTCAATAAACCCCCCCAGCATGTTCTCCTCGGTGTCCGTACACACAGACTGGAATCGATGTTTTTTTGACGGACGTTTTTTGGCTCAAAAAAAAAAAATCAAAACTAGTGAGTTTCTAGAGTTTTTTTAGCTGTAAAAACAAGAACCCTGAAAAACGCTGCAAACCAGCATTTTTGGAAGTTTGCATTAGCGTTTGTTTTTTTGGTCAAAAAAAAAAAAAGCTAAACCCTGAAACTAAAAAAACGCTGCAGACCAGCAAATTTTTGACCAAAGAATTTTTTTTTTGGTCAAAAAAAAAAGCTAAAACACTGCTAAAACACTAATGCAAAAAACTGCAAACCAGCTTTATTGGAAGTTTTTTTTTTTTTTTTTTTTTTTTTTTTTTTTTTTTTTTTTTTTTTTTACGTGACTTTACACCTAACGTTACCGGCGTTCTCAAAACGTCCCGTGTGCGTGAGGACTGATATGTAGCACAGATTAATTTCAGGGGGGGGGGGTATTTGTGAACTATCGCCTTTTCTATATTACCTGGAATTTCCTTCTCCCTCAGGGCTCTGAACAAGTGCAGCGTGGAGGTGTACAAGAAGGTGGGCACGCTGTACCCCGAGATGAGCGTCCACGAACGATCGTTAGACTTCCTTATCGAATTGTTGCACAAAGATCAGCTGGATGAGACGGTCAACGTGGAGCCGCTCACCAAAGCCATCAAGTACTATCAGGTAGGAGCTGCGAAGACGGTGACTACCACTGAGGGCATAGAACCGGGCGATGGGATCTTGTATGGATGTTTGCTCATATGAGGCGCTTCCTGTCCCCCCCCCCCCTTTTTTTTTTTTTTTTTTTTTTTTTTTTAATAATATTATTTGTTGTCTTTTCAGCACTTGTACAGCATCCACCTGGCTGACCAGCCTGAAGACTGCACAATGCAGCTGTTTGACCATATCAAGGTGAGCGCTGCTTATCCCTTCTATATCTGCATGATGTCAGGAGTCGCAATACAGCAATGAGCAATGGTGTCTGACATGCATCCTTTTTTGACCTCTTCCCGACCCATGTGCATAAACGGCCAGACGGGAGCATTGCAGGAGCAAGTGGCAGTTTATAAACGTCCCTCCGCATTCCCTGCGTGTGCGTGCTCCCTGGGAGTGCACGGCACCGCGATCCGGTGCCCGCTGTGTCCGTAGGACACAGCAGAACACGATCGCTGTACAGGATCTCTGTTTGAGGTCCCGATCATGTGATCACTGATTGGCCAATCAGTGATCACATGAATAGTAGTATGGAAGATGTCACTTCTGACAGCATTGCTTACTACGTGTGAAATCTGTGAATGATCACAGAGATCACATGGTATAAACGGGCGGACTGACAACTCATGGGGCCCCGAGCAATAGGGTATCATGGGGCCCGTGTCCTTGCCCAAACTCAAAAAAAAGCCTATAAAAAAGGTACCAGGGGCATTTCATGGGGCCCCCTACAGACCCCGGGCCCTCGGGCAGTGCCCGAGTGCTCAAATGGTCAGTCCGACCCTGGGTATAAGGCTATTCACAACAGCCTTGTACCATGTGACAAGCTGTGACCAATCACAGCTCACACAGTAGTTCTCAATGGCTGCAGGAATGCAGCCAGAGAGAAGGAGAAATGATTGCTTTTACAGCCTTTATCATATAACTGGCATGGCGGAGATCAGGAACACTGACAGTATGGGGAAAAAAAAGTTACTTTTTTTTTAAATTTTCTTTTATTTTCATTTTCTATTACATTTTTTTTTTTTCTTTTTTTTTAAGATTTTTTTTTTTTTTCATATTTCACTTTGACCGAAGCGATCAGTATATATATATATTTTTTTTTACACAATTAGCTTATATGCTATAAGCAAGCATTTACCTGAATGACATCGATTCATTCAGGGCTTTTTTTTTTTTTTTTTTTTTTTTTTTGTGCTTAGCTGTGATTTGGCCATGGCTAATCACATGACATAGCTGGGCTGTGATTGGCCCAGCTTGTGCATGTGATCGCTGTGACCATTCACAGCTGGACACGCTAGTATACAATGGATGGCATGAATGAAGCCATCCATTGTATACAACTGTCATGTGACCTGCTGTGATTGGTCACAGCAGGTCACATGGTACTGGCAACGGGGCCGGTACTCAGATCTGTCATCGGCCGTGTCCGAGGTACGCGGCCGGTGACAGATCGTGCCGCCGCGCAGCTCTGCAGGTGCGCAAACTGCGCATGCCTGGGAGGACGCCATATGGCGTCCACCCGGAACGCTGAAGGATTTTGCAGGCCGCCAAACGGCCATTGGCTGGGCGGCTAATGGATAATGATCTAAAAAAATTAAAATGTAGAAAAAAAAATTTTTGAAAAATTATAACCCAAATTAGTTTATAACCAAAAATTATATATATTTTTTTTGCTAAAAAGATAGATGAATATATTTTGGCCAAGATTTATGAAGAAAGATTATTTGCAAAATTTTATAAGCAAAACACTTCTTGAATAAAAAAAAGTTTTGGAAACAGTATGTTAAAAAAAAAACCAAAAACATTAGTAATAATAAAATAAATGTAAAAAAAAAATAGAAATTTATAATTTGATTATAAATTAATTTGGGTTATTATATATTTTTTTTTTTTTACTAAAAAGATAACTGATATTTTCTTGTCTGCAGTTCACACAGAGCGCTCTGGACTGTATGGGAGTTGAAGTGAGCAGACTGCGCGCCTTCTTACATGTGAGTAACCCGTGATCCAGAAACGCCTCGGCTGCCTCCTCTCTCTGCTGGCTTTATATGTGGAGTCCAGTGCAGGCAGATGGGATTTAGCTGCACAAATGCACATAATTCTATGTATCAGATGTGAGGTCAGATATCTCTTAGGGTGGTCGGGGTGTGAGGGCTGATATCTCATTGGGTGGTCGGGGTGTGAGGGCTGATATCTCATTGGGTGGTCGGGGGGTGTGAGGGCTGATATCTCATTGGGTGGTCGGGGTGTGAGGGCTGATATCTCATTGGGTGGTCGGGGTGTGAGGTCTGATATCTCATTGGGTGGTGGGGGTGTGAGTTCAGATATTGCATTGGGTGGTCGGGGATGTGAGGGCTGATATCTCACTGGAGGGGGTGGGTCGGGGGGTGAGGTCTGATATTCTCATTGGGTGGGGGGAGTGTGAGGTCTGATATTGCATTGGGTGGGGGGTGTGAGGTCAGATATCTCATTGGGTGGGGGGTGTGAGGTCTGATATTGCATTGGGGGGGGGGGGTGTGAGGTCTGATATCTCATTTGGGTGGGGGGTGTGAGGTCAGATATTGCAGGTGGGGGGGGGGTGTGAGTGCAGATATCTCATTGGGTGGTCGGGGTGTGAGGTCTGATATTGCATTTGGGTGGTCGGGGTGTGAGGTCAGATATTGCATTTGGGGTGGGGGGTGTGAGGTCTGATATTGCATTGGGTGGTCGGGGTGTGAGGGTAATATCTCATTCGGGTGGTCGGGGTGTGAGGTCTGATAACCATTTGGAAGGGGTGGGAGTGAGGTCAGATATCTCATTGCAGGGGGGGTGGGATGTGAGGGCAGACCTCTCATTTGGAGGGGGGGGAGTGCGGGGATATCTCATTTGGGGGGGGGGGGGGGAGTGAAGTCAGATATCTCATTTGGAGGGGGGGGAGTGAGGTCGGATATCTCATTTGGAGGGGGGGAGTGAGGTCAGTCAGATATCTCATTTGGTGGGGGGGGGGTTGTGGGGTCAGATATCTCATTTGGGAAGGGTGGGTGGAATGTGAGGTTAGCTCAATAGAACGGGTGGAGTGTTTGTTCCAATATTTTTCATCTCGTTTGCTCCTTCGAACCCCCTTCTCCGCTCTGAACCCCCTTCTCCTGCTCTGAACCCCCTTCTCCCGCTCTGAACCCCCTTCTCCCGCTCTGAACCCCCTTCTCCCGCTCTGAACCCCCTTCTTCCGCTCTGAACCCCCTTCTTCCGCTCTGAACCCCCTTCTCCCGCTCTGAACCCCCCTTCTCCGCTCCGAACCCCCTTCTCCATGCTTCTGGGTCCCTCCTCCTGCATGAACATGTCTCTTCTTCTTCCTTCAGACTGGGCAGGAGGCGTCAGACTTTGCTATCCTCCTGAAGGATCTGGAGACCTCCTGCAGTGACATCCGTCAGTTCTGTAAGAAGATCCGCCGCAGAATGCCGGGCACAGAGGCAGCCGGAATACCCGCCGCTCTCGGCTTTGGTTCCCAGGTGAGTCGGCCTCCGATAGGAGCTGTCAGTCTGCAAAAGAGAAATTTGTCTCATCGCCGCTTGGATAACCCAATGTACACAGTGTGGGGAATATCTCCTTCCTGCAGGAGGTCAGACTGTAAGAGATAGATTCTATACCCCTGTGTATGGTTATCCTGAGGATGGGATGCTTTCCCCGTTCAGTACCATCAGAAGATGCAGATCTATCTCTGTCCTATAATTGTGTGTGTGTGTGTGTGTGTGTGTGTGTGTGTGTGTGTGTGTGTGTGTGTGTGTGTGTGTGTGTGGTGTGTGTGTGTGTGTGTGTGTGTGTGTGTGTGGTGTGTGTGTGTGTGTGTGTGTACAGTTGTGTTCAAAATAATAGCAGTCAGACATCACTAACCGGATCAATCACTGTTTCTGGTAGAGATGATATTTCTACATGGCAAATAATTTCCTAGCAGGTGTAGTAGAGTCATAGAAATCCAACAGACCCGACAGTCATGACATGCATGCTGCTGATTCTGTGTCATTGAATCACTCATTGAAAGGGGCGTGTTCAAAATAATAGCCGTGTGGAGTTCTGTTAGTGAGGTCATTCATTCTTTGATAAACAGGTGGTAATTATTGCCCTTATTTAAGGAAGGAAGGCAGCAAATGTTGTACATGCTGGTTACAGTGCATTTCTCTCTGAAATTCTGAGGAAAATGGGTCGTTCCAGACATTGTTCAGAAGAACAGCGTACCTTGATTAAAAAGTTGATTGGAGAGGGGAAAACATAGAAAGAAGTGCAGAAAATGATCGGCTGCTCAGCTAAAATGATCGCAAATGCTTTAAAATGGCAACCAAAACCTGAAAGATGTGGAAGAAAGTGAAAAAAAACTACCATTGGAATGGATAGAAGAATAGCCAACATGGGGCGGACTCAGCCAACAATCAGCTCCAGGAAGATGAAAGAAGGTGTGACGTTCCCTGTGAGGACTGTTACAATTAGAAGACGCCGATGTGAAGCCAAGCTATCTGCAAGAAGTCCCCGCAAAGTCCCACTGTTGGAAAAAAGACGTGTGCTGAAGAGGTTACAATCTGCCAAAGAGCACATTGACCGGCCTAAAGAGAAATGGCGCAACATTTTGTGGACTGATGAAAGTAAGATTGTTCTTTTTGGGTCTAGTGGGCGGAGACAGTTTGTCAGACGACCCCCAAACACTGAATTCAAGCCACAGGACACTGTGAAGACAGTGAAGCATGGTGGTGCAAGCATCATGATATGGGGATGTTTCTCATACTACGGTGTTGGGCCTATTTATCGCATACCAGGGATCATGGATCAGTTTGAATACATCAGAATACTTGAAGAGGTCATGCTGCCTTATGCTGAAGAGGAAATGCCCTTGAAATGGGTGTTCCAACAAGACAACGACCCCAAACACACCAGTAAACGTGCAACATCTTGGTTCCAGACCAACAAGATGGATGTTATGGAGTGGCCAGCCCAATCCCCGGATCTTCATCCAATAGAAAACTTGTGGGGTGACATCAAAAATGCCGTTTCTGAGGCAAAACCAAGAAATAGAGAAGAACTGTGGAATGTGGTCCAATCATCCTGGGCTGGAATACCTGATCACAGGGGCCAGAAGTTGGGTGACTCCATGCAACACAGATGTACAGCAGTTCTCAGAAACAGTGCGACTACAACCAAATATTCATGAAGTCATTCAAAGGAAAGCAAAATCTTCAAACATTTCTCAGTTTATATAGTGAATGTTTGAGTTTGTAAAGAAGAATACAAACACGGCCATTTTTTTTTTTTAATTTATTTATTTATTTTGAACCGTCTAATATTCACTTTTCTTCAAATTTCTTAGAGGAACAACACAAATTTGATGTATTTTTCTTCATGTTTTGATTTGGAATAGAATGTGTCGTGTTCCCAATGCATTTGTGTGGATGGAAATAAAAGCTATTAGAAGGATTTTCAGCTTTATTCACTTTTTTCAACACACTGCTATTATTTTGAGCACCACTATGTGTGTGTGTATATGTGTATGTATGTATATATGTATATGTGTGTGTGTGTGTGTGTGTGTGTGTGTGTGTGTGTGTGTATATATGCACACAGTGAGGGAAATGTTGAATGTTCGCCCCTCACAAAGAAACAATCGGTCTAAAAATCGAATGTTTGGTGTATTGTAACACTGAGAGACAGAATAGCAACAGCAAATTTTTCCACCACCATGTTTCACAGTTGGGATGGTGTTCTTGGGGTCACAGGCAGCATTCCTCCTCCTCCAAACACGGCGAGTTGAGTTGATACCAAAGAGCTGGATTTTGGTCTCCTCTGACCACAACACTTCCCACCAGTCCTCCTCTGCATCATTCAGATGTTCAGTGGCAGACTTCAGACGGGCCTGGACATGTGCTTTCTTGAGCAGAGGGACCTTGCGGGCACTGCAGGATTTCAGTCCTTGTCGGCGTAGTGTGTTACCAATTGTTTTCTTGGTGACTGTGGTCCCAGCTGCCTGGAGATCATTGACAAGGTCCTCACGTGTAGTTCTGGGATGATTCCTCACTGTTCTCATGATCATTGACACTCCACGAGGTGAGATCTTGCATGGTGCACCAGACCTAGGGAGACTGACACTTGTTTTGTGTTTCTTCCATTTGCGAATGATTGCACCAACTGTTGTCACCTTCTCTCACCAAGCTGCTTGGCCATAGTTTGGTAGCCCAGTCCAGCCTTGTGTAGGTCTACCATCTTGTCCCTGACATCCTTGGACAGCTCTTTGGTCTTTGCCATGGTGGAGAGTTTGGAATCTGATGGTTTGATGGCTCCTGTGGACAGGTGTCTTTTATACAGGTAACACAATGAGATTAGCAGCACTCCCTTTAAGAGACTGCTTCTAATCTCAGCTTGTTACCTGTATGAAAGACACCTGATAGCCAGAAATCCTGCTGAATGATAGGGGATCAAATCCTTCTTTCCCTCATGAACATGCAGATCAGTCATCATTTGTTAGACGCATTTCTGCTGAATTTGTTGTTGTATTCTGTCTCTCAGTGTTACACCGAACATTCCATTGTTAGACCGATCATTTCTGTGTGAGGGGCGAACATTCCATTGTTAGACCGATCGTTTCTGTGTGAGGGGCGAACATTCCATTGTTAGACCGATCATTTCTGTGTGAGGGGCGAACATTCAGCATCAGCAGGGGAGCAAATACGCATTTCCTTCACTGTATATATGTTCCTTGGCCAGCTAACCATTTTTACAAAGCTGAGACTTGGATCTGTTCCCTGAGTCTCATCCTCCTGTTATACCCGACATGAGGAACTGATCACCTCAGTGACTTTAATAATGTCTTCAAAGCAGCACAGATCTCCGCCAGCAGAAGGAAATCCCTTTTAGTAATTCTCCTGGATTGGGTGAACATTTAATTATTTCTCCATTAAGGGAAATACTGAAGGATTTGTATCTTCCACAAACTACCAGTGGAACTAAATTGAGGGATATTGGGGATTTCTCCATATTGATGCTCGTGACCTTACTCTCATAAAGAAAATAAAACTCAGCAAAACTCTGTACTGCACCGTAAATGGGAAGAATGATAGCCCCCCCCCCCCCACCTCCTTAAAGTGGTAGTAAAATGCTAAAAAACCGTAAAACAAAAAAAAAAAAGTCCCCTACAAGGTAATGTCATAATGTGCTATTATCAGGGCTTTCTTTCTGCCGGAACGCGGCGGTACTGCGTTCCGCCACCTTTTTCTTCTTGTCCCCGCTCACCGACTGCCTCTGCAGAGCTGACAAGCTATGCAGAGCAGCGAAAGTGACAGGTGCCGGACGCGGCTTGTTTATGTCATGCTTGCGCGTGCCCGGCACCTGTCACTGCCGCTGCTCACAGCCGGTGAGCGGGGACATGCACGCTTCACCCCCCCCCCTCTACCGCCAGCGTGTAAACATCGGGGCGCGCGGCCACCCCCATAGGAAAGGTGTATCTTAGTACACCCGGCGGTGCGCGCTGACGTCATCACGCCCTCTGCTCGTCGATCCTACCATAGCGCGGATCGTCAGCATCAGGTAAGGAGCGGCGATACAATTTTTCTCGCTTTTCTTGCTAATGTGGGGGGGGGGCAGTGTTACTCGCTATTCTTACTAATGTGGGGGGGGGGGGGGGGGCTGGTGTTAATTCCATACATTTACTTTTATAGCCCCTCCCAAATTTTACTTGCATTCCTGTTCTCTAAAGGGGTGGTCCTAGGGTTTGATGGGGGCGTGGCCAGGTTTGGGTGGGGGAGTTCCACCACCTTTCCTCTGAGAAAAAAAGCCCTGGCTATTATGCATCACATACTAGGACATTATGTAAAACTTGCCCTAAAATGAAGCTATCCAGCGGCAGAGGCTTCCATCTTCCATCCGGGTTCGTGAGCTCTGGCCATCTGACAGGCCGGGCTGCGATGATGTCACTTCTACACATGCGCGCCGGAGTCCCAGGCCACGGCACACAGCTCAGAAGGAACGGCACAGGTATACTGTCCATTGGATTGCCAGACAGAAGCGTGATTGGTCACTCCAAAGAACACGTCTCCTCTGCTATAGAGTCCAGTGGCAGCGTGCTTTACACTACGGCATCCGACACTTTGCATTGCACTTGGTGATGGAAGGCTTGGATGCAGCTGCTCGGCCATGGAAACCCATTCCATGAAGCTCTCTATGCACATTGTTGTTGGGCTCATCTGAAGGCCACACCAAGTTTGGAGGTCTTTAGCTATTGACTCTGCAGACAGTTGGAGACTTCTGCGCACTGTGCGCTTCAGCATGCGCTGACCCCGCCCTGTCATGTGACGTGGCCTACCACTTGGTGGCTGAGTGGCTGTTGTTCCCAGTGGCTTCCACTTTGTTATAATCCCACTAACAGTTGAGCGTGGAATATTTAGTAGCCAGGAAATGTCACGGATGGACTTATTGCACAGGTGACCACCTATCACGGGACCACGCTTGGAGTCACTGAGCTCCTGAGAGCGACCCATTCTTTCACCAATGTTTGTAGAAGCCGTCTGCATGTCTAGGGGATGATTGTATACACCTGTGTCCATGGAGGGGATTGGAACACCTGAATCACATGAGGTGGAGGGGATTGGAACCCCTGAATCACATGAGGTGGAGGGGATTGGAACCCCTGAATCGCATGATTTGGAGGGGATTGGAACCCCTGAATCGCATGATTTGGAGGGGATTGGAACCCCTGAATCGCATGATTGGGAGGGGATTGGAACCCCTGAATCACATGATTTGGAGGGGATTGGAACCCCTGAATCACATGATTTGGAGGGGATTGGAACCCCTGAATCACATGATTTAAAGGGCGGGGCCAATACTTTTTGGCAATATAGTGTATATATTGTAAAACCGTACTCCAAAATATCAGTGTCCAATGCAAGCATATACATAAAGTGCGAGTAATTCTATAACATCCAGCGTACTAGTGCCACAAATATAGTAACAGCAAATTCCAGCATATATTCTTGTGTCCATCAACCTATAAAAAACCATCCACCAATCAAAGTGCTTTCTTCTGTGTGTGTAATACACCCTCCCGATGACACCACCAACAAAGTGCTCTTCCACCTCCACATAGATGAAATGAACTCCCCAGAGTGATAGTTAGTTTGGCTGAAAAAAGACAAAAGTCCATCCAGTTCAACCATTAAAAAAAAAAAAAAAAAAAAAGTTATACTCCTACACCCACAGTGGATCCAGAGGAAGGCAGAAAAACCCAGCAAAACACGATCCAATTTACTCCTGCTGGGGAAAAAATTCCTTACTCCAAGTTGCTGATCACCGCCATTAATAGTATAAAAAAAAAATTCAAATATATATATAACACCGTTTATAGAAGCTATAACTTTCACGTAAACCAATAAATTTACATGTTTTGGGTTTCTTTTTTATCAAAGACATGTAGCAGAATACATTTTTGGCCTAAATTTATGAACAAATTGTTTTTGGGATTTTTTTTATAGCAAAAAGTAAAAATAAAATAGAATATAATAAATATATATATACAGTTGCAAGAAAAAGTATGTGAACCCCTTGGGATTACGTGGAGATTTGCATGAATTGGGCATAAAATGTGCTCTGAACGTCATCTAAGTCACAACAATAGAAGAATACAGTCTGCTGAACATAATACTACACAAACATTAGATGTTGCCATGGTTTAATTGCACATAACATGTAAACATTCACAGTGCAGGAAGGAAAAAGTATGTGAACCTTTGGACTTAATAACTGGTTGACCCGCCTTTGGCAGCAATAACCTCAACCAAACGTTTCCTGTAGTTGCAGATCAGACCTGCACAACGATCTGGAGTAATTTTGGACCACTCCTCTTCACAAAACTGTTTCAGTGTAGCAATATTATTGGGATGTTTGGTGTGAATCGCTCTCTTAAGGTCATGCCACAGAATTTCAATCGGGTTGAGGTCAGGACTCTGACTGGGCCACTCCAGAAGGCGTATTCTGTGCTGTTGCAGCCATTGTTTTGTTGAATTACTTGTATGCTTTGGGTCATTGTCCTGTTGCATCACCCATCCTCTGCGGAGCTTCAGTTGGCGGACAGATGGTCGTACGTTTTCCTGCAAAATGTCTTGATAAACTCTGGAATTCATTTTCCCATCAATGACAACAATCCGTCCAGGCCCTGAGGCAGCAAAGCAGCCCCAAACCATGATGCTCCCTCCGCCATGTTTCACAGTGGGGATGAGGTTTTGATGTTGGTGTGCTGGGCCTTTTTTTCTCCACACATAGTGTTGTGTGTTCTTCCCAAACAACTCAATCTTGGTTTCATCTGTCCACAGTATATTTTGCCAGTAGTGCTGTGGAACATCCAGGTGCTCTTTTGCAAACTTCAAACGTGCTGCAATCTTCTTTTTGGACAGCAATGGCTTCCTCCGTGGTGTCCTCCCATGTACTCCATTCTTGTTCAATGTTTTCCTTATTGTAGATGTGTCAACAAAAATGTTAGCATGTGCCAGAGATTTCTGTAGGTCTTTAGCTGACACTCTGGGATTCTTCTTTACCTCATGCAGCATTCTGCGCTGTGCTCTTGCAGTCATTTTTACAGGACGACCACGCCTAGGGAGAGTAGCAACAGTGCTAAACTTTCTCCATTTGTAGACAGTCTGTCTTACCGTGGACACAGGAACATCAAGGCTTTTGGAGATACTTTTGTAACCCTTTCCAGCTTCATGCAAGTCAACAATTCTTGATGGTAGGTCTTCTGAGAGCTCTTTTCTGCGAGGCATGGTTCACATCAGACAGTGCTTCTTGAAACCAGTAAACCCAAAACAGGTGTGTGTTTTTTAAGGGCAGGACAGCTGTCAGCAACACATCCAATATCATCACACTGATTGGAGTCAAGGTTGGCTCACTCCTGGCTCCAATTAGCTCTGGGAGAAGTCATTAAGCTAGGGCCTCACATACTTTTTCCTCCCTGCACTGTGAATGTTTACATGTTATGTGCAATTAAACCATGGCAACATCTAATGTTTGTGTAGTATTATGTTCAGCAGACTGTGTTCTTCTATTGTTGTGACTTAGATGACGTTCAGAGCACATTTTATGCCCAATTCATGCAAAACTCCACGTAATCCCAAGGGGTTCACATACTTTTTCTTGCAACTGTATATACACACACACACATACACATATATATATATATGTATGTATATGTATGTGTATATATATATATGTGTGTGTGTGTGTATATATATATATATATATATATATATATATATATATATATATATATATATATATATATATATATATAAAATATAATTTTTTTTTTTCTTCAAAATTGTAGGTTTTGTGGTGTTTTTTTTTTTTTTGTTTTTTTTGTTTTGTTTATAGCACATGAAACAATGCACAGGCGATCAAATACTACCGAAAGACAGTTCTATTTGTGGGGGAAAAAAAGACATAAATGTAATCTGGGTGCAGCGTTGCACGACCGCGCAATTATTAGTTAAAGTAACACAGGGCCGTATTACAAAAAAATGGCTTGGTCAGGAAGGGGGGGGGGGGAAATCTGGAGGGGGAGGGGTTAATCGTTTAGTCAGTTTTTAGAGCTACAACAATAATTATTAGCAGAGGTTCCCTGATAGCTGAAAGTCATTTTAGGGGCTCCTTTGTTTTAAAAACCTTAGATTGTACGCTCCTCGGGGGTGGGGACTGATGTGAATCTACAATATGTATGTAAAATGCTGCGTAAATTGATGGCGCTATAGAAGTACCTGAAATAAATAAATACATTTTAAAAAGTGTGAGATGGGCTGTTCTAGCGGCATATCAGATGCTTTGCTCCGCCTCTTTGTGGTGTCCAAGGACAGGACGGTGAAATTTGTATTTAGACATTTTCATGACTGTGACTTCTGCCCTTCCAGGTCTCCGAGACGCTGCTGGAATGCCGCAAACATCTGAAGTGGGTGGTGGCCGTTTTCCAGGAGGTGGCAGCTGCCGGCGCTCAGATGATCGCTCCTCTCGGGGAAACTGAAGGTCTGCAGTCCTTAAAACTGGAAGATGTCGCCTTCAAGGCCTCTGAACAGGTGAGAAAACTTCAAGGTGCCCAAGAAGAAACGGAAATAAAATTGCCGATAAACGGGAGATTCCATCAGTAACGTCTCACTTCCCGATTATTGGGAGCTTCTGTCTGTAACGTCTCACTTCCCGATTATTGGGAGCTTCTGTCTGTAACGTCTCACTTCCCGATTATTGGGGGCTTCCATCTGTAACGTCTCACTTCCCTGATTATTGGGGGCTTCCATCTGTAACGTCTCACTTCCCGATTATTGGGGGCTTCCATCTGTAACGTCTCACTTCCCTGATTATTGGGGGCTTCCATCTGTAACGTCTCACTTCCCTGATTATTGGGAGCTTCTGTCTGTAACGTCTCACTTCCCGATTATTGGGAGCTTCTGTCTGTAACGTCTCACTTCCCGAATATTGGGAGCTTCTGTCTGTAACGTCTCACTTCTCGAATATTGGGAGCTTCTGTCTGTAACGTCTCACTTCCCGATTATTGGGGGCTTCCATCTGTAACGTCTCACTTCCCGATTATTGGGGGCTTCCATCTGTAACGTCTCACTTCCCGATTATTGGGGGCTTCCATCTGTAACGTCTCACTTCCCGATTATTGGGAGCTTCCATCTGTAACGTCTCACTTCCCGATTATTGGGAGCTTCCATCTGTAACGTCTCACTTCCCGATTATTGGGAGCTTCCATCTGTAACGTCTCACTTCCCGATTATTGGGAGCTTCCATCGGTAACGTCTCACTTCTCGAATATTGGGAGCTTCTGTCTGTAACGTCTCACTTCCCGATTATTGGGGGCTTCCATCTGTAACGTCTCACTTCCCGATTATTGGGGGCTTCCATCTGTAACGTCTCACTTCCCTGATTATTGGGGGCTTCCATCTGTAACGTCTCACTTCCCGATTGTTGGGAGCTTCCATCTGTAACGTCTCACTTCCCGATTATTGGGGGCTTCCATCTGTAACGTCTCACTTCCCTGATTATTGGGAGCTTCTGTCTGTAACGTCTCACTTCCCGATTATTGGGGGCTTCCATCTGTAACGTCTCACCTGCTGAAAAGAAGGGAATGAGTGGACAGGACATCCACAAGGACATGATGGAAACCTCAGGGGAGGTTGCTCCTTCCTATTCCACCGTTAAAAAGTGGGTGATGGAATTCTAGAGAGGGAACCCCTCTGTCCAAGATGCCCCTCGCAGTGGAAGTCCAGCAACTGCCTGTACTGAGGAAAGCATCACAGCAATCCAGGATCTCGTAACGGCAGACAGGCGTGTGACAGAGTTTCATCGCAGACAAAGTGGGCGTATCCCAGGAACATGTTGGACACATTTTAACAGACAGGGACAAGGTGTCAAGTTGGGGGTAAAGTGTCCGGACTGGAAGTGGTTGTGAATCCTTCTCATATACCCAGTGAAGAGACCGGCCTCATGTTATACACAGAGATTAAATGAATCCTACTTGAGTTGTGCCGGTTTATCTACAGCTTTCTATGCTATACAGCATGTCTGAACTTTCATAAAGCAGGGGGCGTGGAAACTCAAGTTACACTCTGCAGATCTCAGAGCTGATTGGAGGGAAGAGAGCTACCTGATGCGCACAAGAGTAGAGCTGAAGCTGCCAATCGCAGGCTGTGTCCTGGAGCTCCCTCTAGTCACCTTTATTTTTATTTTTTTTTTATTCTTGGTGTCAGGAAAACCTGTCCAAATGACTGATGCTGATAGCAGAGGAAGGAGGCAGCATCCAGACATGACACTCTGGAATGAGACAAGTGCACACTATGTAGGAGTGTGCTTTGTTCATGTCTGAGGTCTACCACCGCTTTAGGCCGTAGATCTACGATTGGTGCATATTGAGAGGTAGGGAGCGATCTGTTACATCCGTTCACTCGTATTGGTCATCGATCATTTCTTGTTCCAGATTTATGGCTCTCAAGGCAGCAACCCATACGAGTGCCTCCGACAGTCTTGCAACATCCTGATCGCCACCATGAACAAGATGGCCACCGCCATGCAGGAAGGAGAGTATGACGCCGACAAGCCTCAGAACAAGGTGAGCGAGCCTTGGGAGGGGGACGGAGGAGGGGGAGGGGTCACGTGGGGGTGGAGGAGGGGGACGTCGCATAAAATGTTTTATTAGAATCTGAAAAATTAGAGCTCCAGCCGGGCTGACAAAAGTGCCGGCATTTCCCATCTGTACTGGGAGGATCCATGTTCTGGGTCTACATACATGTCCTGCTTGGACACCAGAAGTGAGGGGAAATCTCCCCAGTGAGGACCCCGGCAGCCAATGGAAATCTGATTCATTGTCTTTCCCTTCCCCCGTTCTATCCAAAACTAATGAAATAACTTGCATGGGATTTTCTTTTATTGAATTTGTGATGAATACGTGACTTGTGGGTGTGTCTTCTCTCCAGGCTCCTCCTCCAGTTGAGCAGAGAGCCGCTGCCCTCCGTGCAGAGATTACTGACGCTGAGGGATTGGGACTGAAGCTGGAGGATAGAGAGACCGTCATCAAAGAGCTGAAGAAGTCTCTGAAGATCAAGGTAAGTCCACCTCCCTTCCTCAGGGCACCTTACATGGGGTGATGAGGTCAGTGCAGATCTCTAAATACTTCTGTCACCTTGAGAAAGTTGACCCCATCAGGCCTGATGGACTATCTTCTTCTTCTTTTTTTTTTTTTTTTTTTTAACCCTCCTGTATTTTATTTTTTAACTATGCTTTCTTTAATTTTTTTTTTTTTTTTTTATCTACGCTCCCTGGCCCATGCAAAATAATCCAGGCAAAAAGGGGAAAAAAGAGGTAGAGGAGGAGAGAGCCAAAAAAGAGGGGGGGAGAAATGGGAAACGGAAAAAAAGAAAATTGAAAAATTAGCGGGGGCCTGTACAAAAAAAAAATTGAAAAAATTAGCGGGGCCTGTACAAGGGGGGGGGGGAGAAAGGGGAAATGTAGAAAAGAAAAAAAAATTTAAAAATTAGCGGGGCCAAGAAAGGAACTAGGGTTGTGTCTGTGTGGTTTTTTTTGTTTTTATTTTTTTTTTTTTCTTATACCTCCTTTTTTTTTTTTTTTTTTAAATATTTTTTTTTTTTTATCTATGCTTTAATTTTTTTTTTTCTTTTTTTGTCTTCACTCCCTGTCCTTTTGCTTAGATGCTAGGGGTTAAACCTGAGGGCATGTGACCATTGAAAACACAAATTAAAGACATACAAATTGCCTAAATTTCTATGTCTAAATTTCCAGGCGCACTGCCCATGTCAGGACAACGGCCATTTGATTGGCCGTTGAGAGCCGTTGGTTCATTGCTAAAACTATGCAGAAAGTGACATTCACGGATCATAAAACACGCCTAGTCCTCACAGTGATAGGACCCGAAAGAGTCCCTTCGTTGTCAGTCATTGATGATGTCTGTAGTTGATTGGTCGGTGATTCGTTGTCAGTCATTGATGATGTCTGCAGCTGATTGGTCGGTCATGATGTTTCTTCCTCCATATTTATCAGGGGGAGGAGCTGAGTGAAGCCAACGTACGGCTTAGCCTGCTGGAGAAGAAGCTGGACAGCGCCTCCAAGGAAGCAGATGACCGGGTGGAGAAGATCCAGACCAAGCTGGACGAAACGCAGGCTGTGCTGAAGAAGAAAGAGAAGTATGTTTCCGTGTTCCGTGGCCTAGTATGTGATCTCCTGAACACGTAATGCACACACTGTATGTGATCTCCTGAATATGTAATGCGTACAATGTATGTGTAGGATCGAATGTCTGTGGTCACCTGACCATCACACCTAAATCAGCTCCTGTCGCAAAAACAGGAGTGTCAATGTGCAGTTGTCCCTCTCTGAGGCTCTGACCACCTCAGCTTATCTGGGGAGGCTCTCCACAAGTCTTCTGTAATGTTACTGCGGTTATGTGCGCCAGTTCAGCCAAAAGAGCATTTGTGAGGCCAGGTACTGATGATGGGTGAGCAGACGTGGCTGACAGCCGCTGCTCCAAGGTGCTGAGAGATACCGAAACTGGGTATCAAGCAGCATAACTAAAAAGTTGAGTATCTGGCCGCTCGTCCCCTGAATGACTACATATACCAGAAGACCCCCCGGTGGGACTTTATTGCAGCATTGAGAAATTACACGTATATACAAAGACATTGTGGTAAAAAAAAGTATTCGCTTTATTGTATACACATTTTTTATTTTTTTTCTTCACAAACCATTTTTATTAAAGGTGCATACACATACTGTATTTTTCGCTCCATAAGACGCACCTAGGAGGAAAAAAAAAATTCTGAACCAATGGACTGCAGACACAGTACAGGAGATGACCAGAGACTGCAGACATAGTACAGGAGATGACCACAGACTGCAGACATAGTACAGGAGATGACCAGAGACTGCGGACATAGTACAGGGGATGACCACAGACTGCGGACACAGTACAGGGGATGACCACAGACTGCGGACACAGTACAGGAGATGACCAGAGACTGCGGACATAGTACAGGAGATGACCACAGACTGCGGACACAGTACAGGGGATGACCACAGACTGCGGACACAGTACAGGAGATGACCACAGACTGCGGACACGGTACAGGAGATGACCAGAGACTGCGGACACGGTACAGGAGATGACCGGAGACTGCGGACACGGTACAGGAGATGACCGGAGACTGCGGACACGGTACAGGAGATGACCGGAGACTGCGGACACGGTACAGGGGATGACCGGAGACTGCGGACACGGTACAGGGGATGACCGGAGACTGCGGACACGGTACAGGGGATGACCGGAGACTGCGGACACGGTACAGGGGATGACCGGAGACTGCGGACACGGTACAGGAGATGACCGGAGACTGCGGACACGGTACAGGAGATGACCGGAGACTGCGGACACGGTACAGGAGATGACCGGAGACTGCGGACACGGTACAGGAGCTGACCGGAGACTGCGGACGCGGTACAGGAGCTGACCGGAGACTGCGGACGCGGTACAGGAGCTGACCGGAGACTGCGGACGCGGTACAGGAGCTGACCGGAGACTGCGGACGCGGTACAGGAGATGACCGGAGACTGCGGACGCGGTACGCGGTACAGGAGATGACCGGAGACTGCAGATCTTTGAGAAGGGGGGGGGGAGTGGGTACCCAAATTTGACAGGTTCCTTGCCCCCACTTCCTCCCTTCCCATTTTCTGGGACACGTGACAGGTCCCAGAAGACTATGGGACCATTCACAAAGTGCAGCACTACTCGCACATGCGCAGTGTGCACCCAGGTGTGAAGCCGCAAGCTGTCACAGCCGGGTGCCCACACTAAAGATGCTGGGGAGGGAAGACGGTGAGAACACTACTGGACTGAGGAACAAGCGAATAACCCACCTGGATGCACAAAGTAGTTGGGACGATATGTACGGTGTTGCTAACACAGGTCAGAGTTGCAAAATTGTGCTTCGGTATTAAGATTTGTTTCACCCTCGGGAATGAAGGGGTTAAGGGAGGGATTATATACCTTCACAGCAGCCAGCATCAGGTGGAGCCTAATTACTGAGATCAGCTAGTTGCTGGGAGATACCCGCTGGTGGCCATCGAAACTGTGCCCTTGGACTCTGAGGGCAATGGTGCCACCAGCAGGTGGTCCAAGTCCTGACAGATGTTTAGTGAGGAGAAACCTCAAATGGCTTTCATGGAGTTCTGACCTCAACCCTACCAAACTCCTCAACCAATGTCTTAATGCAGCTGGCTTTGCACACAGGAGCACAGCACGGTGTTCCCTAAGACTTTTCGGCCTCTACTGATACTTCAGATGCCCTTGGACTTTGGGGGCAATGATGCCACCAGCAGGTGATCCACGTCCTGCCAGATGTTCGGTAGGGTTGAGGTCAGAACTCCATGAAGGCCTTTGGTTGAGGAGTTTAGTAAAGAGAAACCTCAAAGGCCTTCATGGAGTTCTGACCTCAACCCTACCGAACATCTGGCAGGACGTGGATCACCTGCTGGTGGCATCATTGCCCCCAGAGTCCAAGGGCATCTGAAGTATCGGAGGCTAAATGTCTTAGCAAGCACCGTGTTGTGCCCCATCCCCCAATCCACAAAGCCAGCGGCATTAAGACATTGGTTGAGGAGTTTAGTGAGGAGAAACCTCAATGTCTTAATGCCGCTGGCTTTGTGGATTGGGGCACAACACGGTGCTCGCTAAGACATTTAGCCTCCGATACTTCAGATGCCCTTGAACTCTGGGGGCAATGGTGCTACCAGCAGGTGATCCAAGTCCTGACAGATGCTTGGCAGGGTTGAGGTCGGAACTCCATGAAGGTTTCTCCTCAGTAAACTCCTCAACCAATGTCTTAATGCAGCTGGCCTTGTGGATGGGAGCACAGCCCGGTGTTAAGACATTTGGCCTCTACTTATACTTCAGATGCCTGTGGACTCTGGGGGCAATGGTGCCACCAGCAGATGATCCAAGTCCTGCCAGATGTTCGGTAGGGTTGAGGTCGGAACTCCGTGAAGGCCATTTCAGGTTTCTCCTCAAACTCCTCAACCAGTGTCTTAATGCAGCTGGCTTTGTGGATTGGGGCACAGCACTGTGTTCCCTAAGACTTTTCGGCCTCTACTGATACTTCAGGTGCCCTTGAACTCTGGGGGCAATGGTGCTACCAGCAGGTGATCCAAGTCCTGACAGATGTTTAATGAGGAGAAACCTCAAATGGCCTTCATGGAATTCCGACCTCAACCCTACCGAACTTTTCAACCAATGTCTTAATGCAGCTGGCTTTGCACACAGGGGCACAGCACGGTGTTCCCTAAGACTTTTTGGCCTCTACTGATACTTCAGATGCCCTTGGACTCTGGGGGCAATGGTGCCTCCAGCAAGTGATCCAAGTCCTGACAGATGTTCGGTAGGGTTGAGGTCAGAACTACGTGGAGGTTTCTCCTCACTAAACTCCTCAACCAGTGTCTTAATGCAGCTGGCTTTGTGGATTGGGGCACAGCACAGTGTTCCTTAAGACATTTTGGCATCTACTGATACTTCAGATGCCCGTCAACTCTGGGAGCAATGGTGCCACCAGCAGGTGATCAAAGTCCTGACAGATGTAGGGTTGAGGTCTGAACCCCGTGAAGGCCATTTGAGGTTTCTCCTCAGTAAACTCCTCAACCAATGTCTTAATGCAGCTTGCTTTGTGGATTGGGGCACAGCACAGTGTTCCCGAAGACATTTGGCCTCTACTGATACTTCAGATGTCCCCTATACCTGTATTGCAGGCGCGGTAATCTGGTTCCTGCTCAGCCTTTGTATAGCATAGATCGTCGCTATCGTTCGATGAGGGACACAGCTTGACAGTAAGCACCCTAGGGCTATACTGCCCCTTACAGTAGAAGTGCACACTAGGCATGTACAACTGGCGAGCAGTTCCTAGAGGCTCTGCCCTCTCCTGGACCCTTCAAGGTTCACGTATGTTCCTCAGGAGGAAGGATGGATCTTTCTTGGAAGAGTCTCCAGTTGGCCAAGAATGCAGGTTTTCCCATTTCAATAAATATAGCGGCATTCTCTCTGCCGCAGTCCTGTAAGTGGCGTGACTACCTACCTGTGTATAGGGCAGGATGGTCCAGGGCAGGATGGTCCAGGTCAGGCCAGTATATCTGGGACCAGAGCCGAGACTCCTCTCTGAAGACTCCTTTGATGTAAGCGGAGTTTATGCTGCGTCTGGGATTTCTCCTTTTCATGGTTGTTTGCGCCTGACGTCTTCTGATTTGTGCAGTATAGCGGCTTCTGATATTGATCGATGTTTTGTGCCGTTGGCAGGGAATTCGAGGAGACCATGGATGCCCTACAGGCGGATATCGACCAGCTGGAGGCAGAGAAGGCTGAGTTACGGCAGAGACTGAACAACCAATCAAAACGCACTATCGAGGGTCTCCGCGGGGCCCCCGCATCCGGTGTGGCATCCATTGTGTCTGGCATCGCAGGAGGTGAGAGGGCTTGATGGGGTTTCGGGGAAAGAAAATACTAAATGAAATAAATGTATAAATGTTGTTTTTCCTTTAAACCAGAAATCCCCAAACGTTCTAAACATAGGACCACTTTACTGTTCTTCCAACTATAGGGGGCCTGGACTGTGGTCAGTGGAAGAATATGTCCTGGTGTCAGTGGGAGTAAGGAATGACCCATCATTGGTGTCAGTGGGAGGAATAGTGCCCCATCATTGGTGTCAGTGGGAGGAATAGTGCCCCATCAGTGGTATCAATGGGCGGAATAGTGCCCCATCATTGGTATCAGTGAGAGGAATAGTGCCCCATCATTGGTGTCAGTGGGAGGAATAGTGCCCCATCATTGGTATCAGTGGGGGGAATAGTGCCCCATCATTGGTGTCAGTGGGAGGAATAGTGCCCCATCATTGGTGTCAGTGGGAGGAATAGTGCCCCATCATTGGTATCAGTGGGAGGAATAGTGCCCCATCATTGGTATCAGTGGGGGGAATAGTGCCCCATCATTGGTGTCAGTGGGAGGAATAGTGCCCCATCATTGGTGTCAGTGGGAGGAATAGTGCTCCATCATTGGTGTCAGTGGGAGGAATAGTGCTCCATCATTGGTGTCAGTGGGAGGAATAGTGCTCCATCATTGGTGTCAGTGGGAGGAATAGTGCCCCATCATTGGTATCAGTGGGAGGAATAGTGCCCCATCATTGGTATCAGTGGGAGGAATAGTGCCCCATCGTTGGTGTCAGTGGGAGGAATAGTGCCCCATCATTGGTGTCAGTGGGAGGAATAGTGTCCCATCATTGGTATCAGTGGGAGGAATAGTGTCCCATCATTGGTATCAGTGGGAGGAATAGTGCCCCATCATTGGTGTCAGTGGGAGGAATAGTGCCCCATCGTTGGTGTCAGTGGGAGGAATAGTGCCCCCCATGGTGCCCCATCATTGGTGTCAGTGGGAGGAATAGTGCCCCATGGTTGGTGTCAGTGGGAGGAATAGTGCCCCATGGTTGGTGTCAGTGGGAGGAATAGTGCCCCATGGTTGGTGTCAGTGGGAGGAATAGTGCCCCATCATTGGTATCAGTGGGAGGAATAGTGCCCCATGGTTGGTGTCAGTGGGAGGAATAGTGCCCCATCCCATGGTTGGTGTCAGTGGGAGGAATAGTGCCCATCATTGGTGTCAGTGGGAGGAATAGTGTCCCATCATTGGTATCAGTGGGAGGAATAGTGTCCCATCATTGGTATCAGTGGGAGGAATAGTGCCCCATCATTGGTGTCAGTGGGAGGAATAGTGTCCCATCATTGGTGTCAGTGGGAGGAATAGTGTCCCATCGTTGGTGTCAGTGGGAGGAATAGTGCTCCATCATTGGTATCAGTGGGAGGAATAGTGCCCCATGGTTGGTGTCAGTGGGAGGAATAGGGGGAGTGGGGGGAATAGTGCCCCATCATTGGTGTCAGTGGGAGCTTGTACAGGCCTGATACACTCCTGTGTGAACCACTCCTGAACTGTTTGCTGTTTTCTGTTCTCTTCTCTGATTTCTCCTGTAATTTGTGTCTTCCTGTCCTGTGCTCTGACAGAGGAAGAGCAGAGAGGTATAGTACCGGCACCCTGCACTCTTCTGTACGCAGCATGCACCCATCCACGTCACCTCTACATTTACACATCGGGGCCTGTTTATAAAGGGTCAGATTATTATGTCATTGTGCTCCTTAACCCCTCGCCCTCCAGAGGATTTACCCCCTGCTGACCAGGCCATTTTTTGCAATACATCACTGCGTTACAGTAACTGCCAATTGCACGGTCATGCAACGCTGTACATCAAATTTACATCCTTTTTTTTTTTCCCCCCAAATAGAGCTTTCTTTAGATGGTATTTGATCGCATGTGCGTTTTTTTTTTATTTTTTTTTATTGCACTATAGTCAAAAAAAGACCGACCGATTTGGAAAAATAACAATATTTTTGACTTTTTGCTATAAAACATGTCCAGTAAAAAAAATGTAAAAAATCAAATTTCATCATAAGTTTCGGCCAAAATGTATTCTGCGCCGTGTCTTTGCCAAAAAAAAAATCCCAATACATGTAAATAATTGGTTTACCTGAAAGTTATAGCGTCTACAAATGGTGGTATATATACTGGAATTTTTTTCATTTTTATATATATACACACACTGTACACAATGGCCGGGAGCAGTGCAGGAGCAGGTGGACGTTTATAAACGGTCTCCACATTCACAGCCTGTACGCACTTCCTGGGAGCACATGGGACTGCGATCCAGTGCCTGCTGTGTCTGGACACTGATTACTGTACGGAACCTCTGTGCGAGGTCCCGATGATGTGATCACTGATTGGACAATCGGTGATCACATGAACAGTAGTAAGCAAGATGTCACTTCTGACACATTGCTTACTACGTGTGAAATATGTGAATGATCAAGAGATCTCATGGTACAGGGCTATTCACAACAGCCTTGTACCATGTGAGAAGCTGTGACCAATCACAGCTCTCACAGTATTTCTCAGTGGCTGCAAGAATGCAGCCAGAGAGAAGGAGAAATGATTGCTTTTACACCCATAAGAGCTGTAAAACCAATCAGTGTAAAAAAAAAAAAAAAAAATCTTCACCACAAGTAGTACAGTGTCACTATGGTGACACTGTACTGCTAGGGTGACAGTTTGTTAAAAGCAAAAAAAACATAATTAATATAAAAATGTGAAGAAATTTTGAAAAATTATAATTTTTGGTTATAAACGAATTTGTGGTTTTTTTTTTCTTTTTTCCCACTATATCCCGTAGTTTTGTAAACTTCCACACAAACCAATAATATACACTTATTGGGATTTTTTTTTTTTCACCAAAGACACGTAGCAGAATAAATTTTGGCCTAAGTTTTTTATAAAGAAATTTGATTTTTTTTTTTTTTTTTTTTTGATAAAGTAGAGAGAAATTCATTTTAAATAATAAAAATTCCCCAGTGATTATTATTATTATACAGGATTTATATAGCGCCAACAGTTTGCTCAGCGCTTTACAATATAACAGAGTTTTATTTTGGTGGTATTTAATCACCACTATTTGTGTATAAAAAAAAAAAAATGTTATAAATGTAATTTGTGTACGTGTCGCAAGAACAAGCAGTTCCCAGCTAAATAGCAAGAAAATGCCCCGGTCGTGAATTGGGCAAAACCTTCTGGAGGTCAAATGGTTAAAAAGCAGGAAATATTGTGAAGCGAAATGTAAAAAAGAAATATTTTCCTGACATTTATAAATCGGCTCCATTTGAGTCCCCGAGAATCACTTCCTGGTGCATGATGGGAACTCTGCATGACTCATTAACCCTTTCCACAAGATCCTGAAGATGTCTCTGTTGTCAGTATGCATGCGATGGCCGCCCTGCCGATCTTCTAGTCATCGATCTGACGCGTCTCTTGTGTCCATTGCTTCTCCATGTAGGAGTGGTCTCCAGCCAGGTCCTGCTGAACGGATCGGGTCCTGTACAAGTGAAGGACTCACCGTTGCTTCTGCAGCAGATTGATGCCCTGCGCCTGTCCATGAAGCACCTGAAGCAGGAGAACAACAAGCTGAAGGTGAGGTCCTCTCCAAACCAAGGGTGGTCCGGGGCAAAGCTCATGACCAGTTGTGTCTTCTGAGCCAAAACAAAGGAGGGCCTGTAGAAAACATGGAGGGGGGTTCTGACCTTCACTACAATATCTAACCAGCACTTCTCCCTTTTTTTCCAGGCTCAGCGGATGAAGGAGGAGCTGGCTGCCTTACCTCCACTGCATTTGCCTAAACTAACCCTCTCCAAAGACCGTCCGCGGGAGGAGGTCATGTCTGGGACGCTCTACCGCAAGACCAGTCAGCTGTTGGATACCCTGCAGCAAATGAGCGCCAACGCCAAGGTGGTGGACATCACCCACAAGAAAGGAGGTCTGTTCTTTTCAGCACAGTAAGCTCGTTGTGATAATGTGAATCTCCATTTACTCCTCTCCCTCTAGAAATGCTGCTTGATCGACTTTGAGCCGAACCAAGGCTCATCCAGGGGCTGTGAAACGTTCCGAGTCATGGACTCCGCACAGCCATTCTAAGTAAATCCAAAGATGTTCCTTTTTAGGTGGTCAACTGGATTTGTGAATTGTGCGTACAGTCATGGCCAAGAATCTTGTTGTCGTCCCCCCGAATGTCTTCGCCCAGAAAATTGTTGCAATTACAAATGTTTCGGCATTCTCATGTTTTTCTTATGTATTGGTATGACACAAAAAAGTGGAGAAATTCCAAGCCAAATCTGACCCATCCCATTGGCATTTTCTCAAAGTTGGAAGAAACAATTGCATTCCAAGTTTGTGACACTCCGGTAATTTGTCATTAACCCCTTCCTGTCCGGCCATTGTATATAAACGGCCGGACGGTGGCAGTGCAGAGTCGGGTGGCTGTTTATAAACGGCCTCCCCGCCCCCTGCTTGTGCGTGCTCCCTTCCGGACACAGTGGCACACCGATCGTCGTACGGGACCTCTGTGTGAGGTCCCGATCATGTGATCACTGAATTCCATCACTTTAACATCAGAAATTACCCCGTGCCTCACGTTCTGGTATTCCTACACAGAAATATGGTAGGAGACCCAGGAGGACCCCACTGCTGACACAGAAATATGGTAGGAGACCCAGGCGGACCGCACTGCTGACACAGAAATATGGTAGGAGACCCAGGAGGACCCCACTGCTGAGAGAGAAATATGGTAGGAGACCCAGGAGGACCCCCCCTGCTGCTGACACAGAAATATGGTAGGAGACCCCCAGGACACAGAAATATGGTAGGGACCCGACCCCACTGCTGACACAGAAATATGGTAGGAGACCCAGGAGGACCCCCCCACTGCTGACACAGAAATATGGTAGGAGACCAAGGAGGATCCCACTGCTGACCAGGAGGACCCCACTGCTGACACAGAAATATGGTAGGAGACCAAGGAGGATCCCACTGCTGACACAGAAATAGGAGGACCCAGGAGGACCCCACTGCTGACACAGAAATATGGTAGGAGACCCAGGAGGACCCCACTGCTGACAGAGATATGGTAGGAGACCCAGGAGGACCCCACTGCTGACACAGAGATATGGTAGGAGACCCAGGAGGACCCCACTGCTGACACAGAAGATATGGTAGGAGACCCAGGAGGACCCCCACTGCTGACACAGAAATATGGTAGGAGACCCAGGAGGACCCCACTGCTGACACAGAAATATGGGAGGAGACCCAGGAGGACCCCACTGCTGACACAGAAATATGGTAGGAGACCCAGGAGGACCCCACTGCTGACACAGAAATATGGTAGGAGACCCAGGAGGACCCCACTGCTGACACAGAAATATGGGAGGAGACCCAGGAGGACCCCCCCACTGCCAGGAGGACACAGAGAAAATATGGTAGGAGACCCAGGAGGACCCCACTGCTGACACAGAAATATGGTAGGAGACCCAGGAGGACCCCATGCTGGTAGGATGGGAGGAGACCCAGGAGGACCCCACTGCTGACACAGAAATATGGGAGGAGACCCAGGCGGACCCCACTGCTGGCACAGAAACATATTGGAAGCCAGATTGGAGTTTACCAAAAATCTGCCATTGTGTTTCGTCTGTCCACAGCACATTCTCCCAAAGGGATTTTGGCTTCCTCAGGTAAGTTTGGTAAAGCCCATCATTCTACTGTTGTCAGAAAAAGCAATGAGGCCTTTAAAGAAAATAATCCAGTCACACATGATGGGGGGGGGGGGGGGGGTCCACTGATGTTTTGGGGTTGCTTTGCTGCTTCAGGCACTGCATGTCTTGGCCATGTGCATGTCATGATGAAATCTGAAGACTACCAAAGAACTCTGGGGTGCAATGTAGGGCCCAGTGTCAGAAAGTTGGGTCTCCAATGTCAGAGGTCATGGGTCTTCCAGCAGGACAATGACCCCAAAGCACACGTCAAAAAGACCCCAGAAATGGTGTCAGACAAAGCACTGGAGAGGACTGAACTGGCCAGCAATGAGTCCAGATCTCCATCCCATAGAGCTCCTGTGGAGAAATCTCAGAACATCAGTTGGGAGGAGGAACCTTCCAATCTGAGAGACCCGGAGCAGTTGGAGGAAGAAAAGCGATCCAAAAGTCCAGTAGAGAGGTGGAAGAAACTCATTGATGGAAAAAATGACTGAACTCAATGGCTTCCTGCAACCAAGGGGTGTGTGACCAAATATTACATTGAGGGTGCCAATAATTTTGTCCAGTCCATTTTTGGGGTTTTGCATGGAAGACTTGGCTTTTTATTTCTCCACTTTTTTGTGTCCTACCAATAGGAACAAAAGAAATGAACGTGAGATTGCCATTTTGTCATTGCAGCAATGTTCTGGGTGAAGTGGTGCGTTATCAGACAGAAAATGTGTCCAATCTGTACTGATACAGTCACGGCCAAACATGGCCCCCCCTGCATTTCTGTCTAACTTCTTCAGATGAAAAAAAATTGTGATAATGTGTCCTAAAAATATCCGATTACTCGATGTGTATATCAATATTGTAATCACTGGTTGTATCGATGTCTGTACACAGGCAGTCCAGCAACGCAGCTCCTCGAACAGACCGCTCGCCTCAAGTCGCTCAGCGAGACGATCGACAAGCTGAAGGTAAATCCTAGCTGTATGAGGCTGACTTTAGCGGCCGTCTCTCTATTTTCTTTTCGACAGTTGTAAAGCAACCTCTGATAATCGGGTATGTTGTGAAAGTTACTTCAAGGGAGGAACCTTTCAAAAAGCCTTCAGGTCTCAGAATCCCTGCTAATAAATACATTATATATATATATATAATGGAACATTGGATGAAGCTGAAAGTTTAATATAAAAATAAATTAAACAATAGAAAATGTTTCATTTATAATTAAAATTGAAACAAATATCAATGACCAGAAAAGAAATGCCCCCTTACGTTGGTGGTCGGGGTCGCCCCCTTCTTACCGTTGGTGGTCGGGGTCGCCCCCTTCTTACCGTTGGTGGTCGGGGTCGCCCCCTTCTTACCGTTGGTGGTCGGGGTCGCCCCCTTCTTACCGTTGGTGGTCGGTGTCGTGCCCCCTCCTTACCGTTGGTGGTCGGGGTCGCCCCCTCCTTACCGTTGGTGGTCGGGGTCGCCCCCTCCTTACCGTTGGTGGTCGGGGTCGCCCCCTCCTTACCGTTGGTGGTCGGGGTCGCCCCCTCCTTACCGTTGGTGGTCGGGGTCGCCCCCTCCTTACCGTTGGTGGTCGGGGTCGCCCCCTCCTTACCGTTGGTGGTCGGGGTCGCCCCCTCCTTACCGTTGGTGGTCGGTGTCGTGCCCCCTTATGTTGGTGGTCGGTGTCGTGCCCCCTCCTTACCGTTGGTGGTCGGTGTCGTGCCCCCTCCTTACCGTTGGTGGTCGGTGTCGTGCCCCCTCCTTACCGTTGGTGGTCGGTGTCGTGCCCCCTCCTTACCGTTGGTGGTCGGTGTCGTGCCCCCTCCTTACCGTTGGTGGTCGGTGTCGTGCCCCCTCCTTACCGTTGGTGGTCGGTGTCGTGCCCCCTCCTTACCGTTGGTGGTCGGTGTCGTGCCCCCTCCTTACCGTTGGTGGTCGGTGTCGTGCCCCCTCCTTACCGTTGGTGGTCGGTGTCGTGCCCCCTCCTTACCGTTGGTGGTCGGTGTCGTGCCCCCTCCTTACCGTTGGTGGTCGGTGTCGTGCCCCCTCCTTACCGTTGGTGGTCGGTGTCGTGCCCCCTCCTTACCGTTGGTGGTCGGTGTCGTGCCCCCTCCTTACCGTTGGTGGTCGGTGTCGTGCCCCCTCCTTACCGTTGGTGGTCGGTGTCGTGCCCCCTCCTTACCGTTGGTGGTCGGTGTCGTGCCCCCTCCTTACCGTTGGTGGTCGGTGTCGTGCCCCCTCCTTACCGTTGGTGGTCGGTGTCGTGCCCTCCTTACCGTTGGTGGTCAGACTTTTGTTACTTTGACCACCAATGTAACGTAGCACTTAACGCTTTAAAATAACTAGAATGTTTTGTATAATTGGCCGTGTAGTCTTGATTCCCCGGATCTCTCGTTTGTTCCCAGGATGAAGTCCTGAAGGAGACCGTATCACAGTGCCCTGGAGCAAACGTCCCATCAGACTTCGCTACCTTCCCATCATTAGACTTTATAAAGGTAAGTCTCTCGGGGGGGGGGGGGGGGGGAGGGGGGGGGGGGGGGGGGGGGGGGGGGGGGGGGGGGGGGGGGGGGGGGGGGGGGGGGGCGTCACCCCAAGTTCTGTTTCCATACCGACAAGACTTGGGAGACGTCCCATCAGCTGAACAGTGTCATGAACGTTATAGCGTTTACAAATGGCGGTATAGATACTAGAATTTTTTTGGGTTTTTTTTTTGCTAATGCGCCGATCAGCGGCCTATAGCGGGACTGCGGCGGTCATTCTGACATGGGGGGGGGAGGGACTGACTTGGTGTCACTGACATCCCCAGTGACACCAATACAGTGACCAGTGCTAAAAAAAAAAAGCACTGACACTGTACTAATGGCACTGGGCAGGAAGGGGTCAATGTGAGGGGTGATCAAAGGGTTAACTGTGTGCTGGGAGTGTTTTACTGGGGGGCAGTGTGTTGGTGCTTCACTGTAAGCACACTGCTCTGGATGGCTGTGCTGTGCAGTGTGCCCGAGCTAACGGGGAGGAGGACTGTTAGTAAACAAAGCAGCCCTCCTCCCCGTCGGAGATCCTCGGTAATCACTGGCCGGGACCCGATGATTGATGGCCATGAATGACGGCGCGAGTAAGGCGCCCCCTACCCAGAAATGCAAAATCCCATATATACACATGATTTTGCACACCCCTGCCGCCCTGTAGCAGTATGTCTGCTATAAGGCGGTGGGGAAGTGGTTAATTGAGAACGCACTAGAGAGGGATATGCTTTGTTTATATTTCACGTCTGAGGTTTACAGCAACTTTAATGCTGTAATTGTCTAATACAATGACAGTATTGTGTGTGTATATATATATATTATAAAGCACTAACAGTTCGCTCAGCGCTGTACATTACAAAGGGGGACAGAACATGTGACAGAACAATAACAATACAATGCGATACACGAGGGGATCGAGGGCCCTGCTCCTTGGAGCTTACAATCTAGGAGGGAGGGGATGGTGGCACAGGAGGAGATAGCTGTGGGGGATGGAGTGGTAGGAAGAGTGGAGGAGATCGGCAAATTAGCAGAGGGTGGGGTAGGCTTCCCTGAAGAGATGGGTTTTTTCAGGGTGCGCCTAAAGAAGAGGAGAGTAGGTGATAATCTGATGGGTTGGGGCAGGGAGTTCCAGAGGATGGGTGACACCCTGGAGAAGTCATGGAGGCGGGCATGGGAGGAGGAGACCAGGGAACTAGAGAGAAGGAGGTCTTGTGAGGAGCGGAGTGTGCGTGTTGGGCGGTACTTGAATATTAGGTCAGTGATGTAGTTCGGGGCAGTATGGTGGACGGCTTTGTACGTCAGTGTTAGGATTTTGAATTTGATCCGTTGTGCAATCGGAAGCCAGTGGAGGGATTGGCAGAGGGGGGTGGAGGCCAGTGGAGGGATTGGCAGAGGGGGGTGGAGGACACTGAGTGGAGGCCAGTGGAGGGATTGGCAGAGGGGGGTGGAGGCCAGTGGAGGGATTGGCAGAGGGGGGTGGAGGACACTGAGTGGAGGCCAGTGGAGGGATTGGCAGAGGGGGGTGGCAGAGACAGAGCAGTTGGAGAGGTGAATGAGTCTGGCAGCCGTATTCAGGATGGACTGAAGCGGGGATAGCCAGCGGCGAGGCAGGCCAGTGAGGAGGGAGTTGCAGTAGTCGAGTCGTGATATGATGAGGGAGTGGATGAGCTGTTTAGTGGTTTCTGGGGTTAGGAATGTGCAGATTTTGGCGATGTTGCGGAGGTGGAGTCTGCATGTTGCGGAGGTGGAGTCTGCATGTTGCGGAGGTGGAGTCTGCATGTTGCGGAGGTGGAGTCTGCATGAGTTTGTTAAAGATTGGACTTGGGGCTGGAAGGATAGGTTGGAGTCCAGAATGACACCAAGTACTCTGGCCTGTGGGACGGGTTTGATGGTGGTGTTGTTGGATGTGATGGAGAAGTCAATGGGGGGTGGTGTCCAGGCTGGGGGGAAGACCAGGAGCTCGGTTTTGGAGAGGTTCAGTTTAAGGAAGTGAAGCGACATCCAGGAGGGATGTAGGTGTGTGATTCGGGCGGAGACCGAGGGGGTGAGGTGGGGGGTTGAGAGATAGATTTGTGTGTCGTCGGCATAGAGGTGGTAGTTGAAGCCGTGAGAGTGTATGAGTTGGCCAAGGGAGGAGGTGTATTGTATTCAATCCGGGTGAGGGGTCGACTCACTTCTGGGAGATCCTGTGTGTGTGTGTGTGTGTGTGTGTGTGTGTGTGTATGTATGTATGTGTGTGTATATATGTGTGTGTATATATGTATGTATGTATGTATGTGTGTGTATATATGTATGTATGTGTGTATGTATACATACATACATACATACATACATACTTTTTTTTTTAGATTCAGATAGCAGCCTAACCTTTGTCATAGTTACAGCCAAGTTTGCTCCTACAATATTTTTGGTCTCCGTTTCTTTCCCACAGGCCAAAGAAGAGAAGAAAGAAGACACGGTTTACATCGGGAAGGTGATGCTCCCGTGTCAGGCGGAGCGGGGACAGATCCATCGTCTGGTGCTAACCCCAGAACAACTAAATGAACTGCATGGTCGCCTCATCAGCTAGAGAGAAGCGGGCTCTGCAGGAGGGGGTCACCCACTATATCCAGGGGCAGAGCAGAAGTGCCAGGCGGGGCCCAACTCCTTACACACCTCTGCCTCGCCGACACTGGCCGGCTGCTTTCCTCCATTACGGCGCTCCTGGAGTGCCGATAACTGCATAATGACACGACAGGTAGTAGTTTCCCCTCTCCTCCATCGCAGACCACATAGTACAGCATGGTAAAGTGTCCACCTTTCTGGCAAACGTAAGCAGGACTTTTAAAGGCGTTTTCTGTTGCTGCGGAAAGCGCCTTTCACTTTCTCTGCCACCTCAACTGCAGTGTGCCTGCTTTGCTGGTTCTGGTCATCAAGGACCCTGCTGTCCTTTGGATCAGATAATCTGTCCCCCCTACTATCGTGTAGCAGGTATATGGGCATCCAGCTGCACATCTGCAGTAAAATTGAAAGTCCTCTGGCAATAGTCCTAGACCGAGGGGGGCGGTCCTATTTTCAGAGTATTATTTACACACGCCACCCCCTTACGTCTTTACAGGCTCTTTATTCAGACCACTTGAGAAATGTTCCGGTTTTGCTTCAGGCACCAGTGTATCTCGTCCTATGGGGGACATTTATCAAGCAAGTTAATGACAGGATGAGCCACAAATCGGGCTGCGTCTCCTTCAACGAAGTCTCAAGGACAGGTTTACAGACCTGTGCTTCTGTATTCCTGGGCAGACAAGTGCAACAGTTTTCAAAGATCGTTTACTGAACATAAGAAGGATTTCTGCTCTGAACAGATGCAGCTTTGACAAGTGGTCAGGGTCAGGTGTAACTCCATAGAGATGTCGAGTAACAAAGTAGAAGTTTTATGACCCCGGCTGAGGCATTGCGATGCACCTCACTGCTTCTGATTGCTGTGCCTTGTGTCAGGATTGATAAATGCCCCCCTCCCCCATGTGTCTACAGTCTCCTTGAAACAGGATTGATAAATGCCCCCCCTCCCCCATGTCTACAGTCTCCTTGAGACAGGATTGATAAATGCCCCCCTCCCCCATGTGTCTACAGTCTCCTTGAAACAGGATTGATAAATGCCCCACCTCCCCCATGTGTCTACAGTTTCCTTGTGACAGGATTGATAAATGCCCCCCTCCCCCATGTGTCTACAGTCTCCTTGAGACAGGATTGATAAATGCCCCCCCTCCCCCATGTGTCTACAGTTTCCTTGTGACAGGATTGATAAATGCCCCCCTCCCCCATGTGTCTACAGTCTCCTTGAGACAGGATTGATAAATGCCCCACCTCCCCCATGTGTCTACAGTTTCCTTGTAGACACATGGGGGGGGGGGGGAATTTATCAATCCTGTCACAAGGAGACTGTAGACACATGGGGGGGGGGGGAATTTATCAATCCTGTCACAGTCTCCTTGTGACAGGATTGATAAATGCCCCCCCTCCCCCATGTGTCTACAGTTTCCTTGTGACAGGATTGATAAATGCCCCCCCTCCCCCATGTGTCTACAGTTTCCTTGTGACAGGATTGATAAATGCCCCCCCTCCCCCATGTGTCTACAGTTTCCTTGTGACAGGATTGATAAATGCCCCCCCTCCCCCATGTGTCTACAGTTTCCTTGTGACACGATTGATAAATGCCCCCATGTGTCTACAGTTTCCTTGTGACAGGATTGATAAATGCCCCCCCTCCCCCATGTGTCTACAGTTTCCTTGTGACACGATTGATAAATGCCCCCCCCCCCCCTCCCCATGTGTCTACAGTTTCATTGTGACACGATTGATAAATGCCCCCCCCCCCCCCTCCCCATGTGTCTACAGTTTCCTTGTGAAACCTGCAGATATACTCCAAGAGCCTGTGCAGTCATAAGGAATAGGACACGATTTGTGGATTGTCAGATTGTCCTGCTTACGGAAATTGTCAGGTTGCACTTCAGCAGAGAACCACTTGATGAATGACTGCGCTCAGGAAATTGAACACTAAAGGTGTAGCTTTGTTCTTTCGTCCACTCGGATAATCCAGACTTGCTGGATGACGTCACTGGATTGGGGGTCCTGCGTCCCTTTTCAGAATCTGTCTTTGGTGTGCCTACACTGCACAGCTGTGGTTCTCACATACAATATTTATCAGCGTTGGCTTTTTTCTGTATGCACTCTAAATAAATTGAAGGCTATAACGTGAATCGGTTGGTGGTCGCTTATTACTGCTGAGGCTGACATCTGGGCTACTGAACACGTACATACCCTGGAGCTGTGGTGGTCAGCTGGATGGAAGGGGGCCCCAAGTGCAGCTTGAAGAAAATGTTTGTACTCCTGCGCTGGACGATGGACTCCAGTGACTGTAACCGTACATAGATGGCCTATGGAACGCACGCCTTGCTGCCCTCAATGGACCAAGGGAATCCAAATGAACTGCAAGCAAAAAGACAGAGAGGGCGCACAGGCCTAGTGCATTACCTTTAAAAAAAAAAAAAAAAAAAGTCCAGTCTCCCTGGGAGGTGTCTGGTCGGGGACTATAGACCTCCAAATGGCTGACGCGTTTCGAGGCAATGCCTCTTCCTCAGAGCCGCTATCAACAGAGATTGTGTAGGTAGCAGCTCTGGGGAAGAGGCATTGCCTCGAAACGCGTCAACCATTTGGAGGTCTATAGTCCCTGACCAGACACCTTCCGGGGAGATTGAACCTTGCTGTATTTCTTATGATGTGCCTAGGTAATGCTCTGGGCCTGTGCGCTCTCTGTGTCTTTTTGCATGCGGCCCCAAGTGCAGCATCTGACCCTCCCAAAGGACCATACAGAGAGCTGTCAGACTGCAGACCTGTTGTGGGCATGCTGCGGACACGCTTGAGGCTAGGGTTGGCGGCTGCAGGTGCACTCAGGGCCGGGGGGCTGCAGGTGCACTCAGGGCCGGGGGGCTGCAGGTGCACTCAGGGCCGGGGGGCTGCAGGCGCGCTCGGGGGTCGGGGAACTGCAGGCGCGCCCGGGGCCGGAGAACTGCAGGCGCGCTTGGGGCCAGGGTCGGGGGCTGCGGGCACGCTCCGGGACAAGGACTGCAGGTGCTCGATTTGATATTTCTCTCATTAAAATCCTTTTCAAAATAAAACAGAAAAGATAAACCGCATGGAAAAAGGTGATGTAAGAGAAATTACAATGATTTAACTGGTAGAAGCCAGTCTACAGAATATGGTTTTTCCTTCCTGCCAGGATCTGGAAAGGTACAAAATAGGCAAAAGGTGGCATGTGACCCCCAGGCTGCAGACTGGGCACCTGGGGCTCCAGATGGATGGAGGGAGATGTGCAAAGATGAGTGCACAGCGGATCAGGGACCTCTACGACCTGCGATCAATTTAAAGGTAAACTCTCAACCCCCCTCATATGTTTTGGTATTTTATTGTATATACACAAACACTCTATATTGCCAAAAGTACCGGGCCCCCCCTCCAAATCTTTGGATTCAGGTATTCCAGTCTCCTCCATGGCCACAGGTGTCATCAGTCCAGTCATGTGTCCCCCCGTACTGTCCAGTTCTTCTCCTGCCATGATGCCGCCTCACACTCTGACATTTTTTATTACTTCACCAATAAATGATTGCTGGGTGCTGGTCAACCCAGGAGACTGAGGACATCAGAGGAGTGGAGAAGAGGTACGGCTGAGTACAACTTCAGGGTAATACAACTCTGGTACCATGATATTAACCACTTGAGCTCCAGAGGATTTACCCCCCTTAATGACCACGCCTTTTTTTGCTGTTTGGGTGCAGCATTGCATGACCGCCCAATTATCATTTGAATTAGTGCAGCACCAAACGAAATTTACGTCCTTTTTTTCACACAAATAGAGCTTTCTTTTGGTGGTATTTTATCACCTGTGCGCTTTTTTTATTTTGCGCTATAAACAAAAAAACCACGAAAATTTTGAAAAAAAAACTATTTTCTACTTTCAGCTATAAAAAATATATCGTAAACTCAAAGTTAGTCATAAATGTAAGCCAAAATGTATTCTGCTCCATGTTTTTGGTAAAAAAAATCCCGTGCATTAGCGGGCAAACTGGCGCTATCTGGGAGGGGCGCTAACACTATCGGAAGTCACCAGCGACACTGATCAGTGAACAGATTTTTACTGATCACTGTATCAATGACACTGGTGACAGGGCAGTGAAGGGGTTAACGGGGTTAAATGTGTCCTAGGTGTGTTCTAACTGTGGGTATGTGCTGTTTTACTCACTGTTTGGATGTCTTATTCTCTGTCTGGAACGGAATGTGTCCAGCCAGAGAAGAATGACATCATATCCTGTCCTGTGTAAATGTCAACACAGGACAGGATAGGACAGGGACCGATCATCTGATTTCAGCCAGACATCACTGGCTGAAATCGAATGATTGATCCCTCCAGGATCGAATGGTGTCACCCGTGGGTCGGCGGGAGTGCGCGCGTGCGCCCCCTGCTGGCGAAAACGTCGGGAGCACGTTTTAAAACGTGGTTTGCGCCCCAGTGCTGCCCTGAACACGTGTATATATACAGTGGCAGGGCGGCAAGTGGTTAAAGGAAAAAATTAAGTCTTTTATTGGGCTTTAAAACGGTGCAATATTCGGTTTTAAATGAAAGAAGGGCTAAAGCTGTTTTGGCTGCACGTCTATGGATCACAGGAGTGCACTTCATTCTGCACTCCTGTAACCCAGATTCAGCCAACAGTGCGCTAAAGTCTGCTGTCGGCTGACATCAGAGCCGGTCCAGACTCTGGAGGGATCACGACTTTGATGTATGTATATATATATGTATATATGTTTGTGTGTATGTATATGTATGTGTGTGTGTGTATATATGTATATATAATATATATATATATATACACACACACTTATCTATCTCACATATACAGTTGTGTTCAAAATAATAGCAGTGTGATGACAAAAGTGAATAAAGCTGAAAATCCTTCTAATAGCTTTTATTTCCATCCACACAAATGCATTGGGAACACGACACATTCTATTCCAAATCACAACATGAAGAAAAATACA